GAATAGCCGATGTCAGCGATTTTATAATATATGCATGCTGTATGTTTCATCTTGAGCACCATGGTTTATTGTCTCCTCCTCTTTTTGCAAGAAAGCAGTAAGAGAAAACAGTTTTCAATGTGCTTACATCAACATAATTTATAAACACAATTAGATTTTCTGGAGATTTTTTTATAGCCTTTTGAAACATGTGTCCAACGACATTTCTTGTCCCTCTTATGTTTTCTGGTTTGAGTGGACGATGGGAATAAGTAGCCAGTTTGCTGATCTCAGCACCATCACAAAACCAGATATTCCCTCTTTTGTCCTCACAATAAAGACAGAAAAAAAACGCCCATGATTTCATCCCTGATCCTGACTATCTGATCCTGACTATCTGATCCGGGTTCGTCATCACTCACCTTTGGAGGCATGGTCTTTATCCTCTTTGCTTTTCGTTTTTCCGCTCATGGAGAACCGCGCGCCGCTGCTGCTGGTTCTTGAATCAAACTTCAGGTGAGAGATGCGAGGTCGCGGGTTTTACTTTTTCATCCTCGTCAGATTTCTTTCCACACACACACACACACACACACACACACACACACACACACACACGCCACTGACAGTCCAACTCGCACTGCTCCTCTCTGCTTCTCTCTCTCGCTCGTCAGCCCGACTCAGTTTCAGGACCCACCGCGTCTTTACAAGCCACCAAACACCAGCAGGAGCGCTACCAAACGTGCGCGCGCAAAAACTGCACTCGCACGCGCACATATAGAGACAAAGAAAGATGTCACACGTACGCACACAACCAAGGCAATACAATCAGATATCCTATAGGAACTATTTAAACAATTACAGGCACTAATCAAGCTCCCTTTAAGGGCTTTAAGCTAATGGCTTTTTAACCGATTAATGCAGAGCAACCTGCAAACTCAGCAGTAACGCGATGCAAATGAGTCAGTTCATTGATCATTTAATCAATTTTGTGTTAGAAAATGTCTTTTTTTTTTACCGAGGCAGAAGTGGGATACACTTATCTTGCCGGAGAAACGCTGCTTCCCCAGTGTGTCAGTGTGTTTCTTTTATCTGAAGTCCCTTTCAACATTTACTGAATATAAGACGGCGTCATGCTTATTATTGGGAATTGTGTAATTTGAGGTTAAAATGGGATTATACTGTATATGTCAGAGGACAAAATGTCTTTATTTACTCACTCACCGTTATTCACTAATGAAACAGTGACAATGTGAAATTGACAATGACAACCTGCAAGTATCCCGCTGGAACAATCATTTCGTTTCTCCTCTCCTCTTCTGACTCACAGTATATACATTGTCTCGCATGACAAGTGTTTATGACTCTTGCATAACAGGCCCCTTTACTTTTTTGGGCCTTTTTTTTTTACTCCCAGCTACTAAATGAGCCATCAGACCAAAGCACAGCCGGCCCTCTGTAAGAGCCCCTCTCTGGAGGATTACGGTTCTGGGACCAGCTGCTCTATTAGAACAAAAAGTGCCACATGCGGCCGCTCCTGTTCCCATCAGTAGAACCCAATCTAAATAAAATGCTCCTCAGTAGAATCAATGCAAACACACAGAGCCCTCATTGGAAACTCACCTGTAACGTGAACATGAATACATTTAGATACAGTTTGTATATTTTTCCACTCCGTTATAGTTGTCAAATTGGTAACTGTGATCTTTTTAAATCCTCCTCGGTGTAACACCAATTCAGATTATGACAGATGAAGTGTCAAGCATAGTAGAACTGCCTCTGAAATATGTTCTTCTGAAATATCCCTCATTATGTTTTCCTATTACGTCTCAGCCCAGTGAAAACTGTGTACCTGGAGCTGATTAAAAAAAAAAAAAGAAGTCCTCGGGTCTACATGTTTTGCTCTGTGACCTGCCAGTAGTAATTGCTCTGCAGTGTAAACTGGTCGCAGGTAAAACAGCTGTGTGATTCAACTGAACAGGAGCGTGGACATTTCTTTATTGATCGATGACAGGGTTACATGAAGGAAAGGCGGTTATTGACTTGATCCCACGGCCTTCATCACTGCACCATCTCTGCATTTACGCTGACTAAGCTAAAAAAAAATGGATGACCAATGGATTGCTGCTCCGTGATACTTCAAGTGTCGAGACAAAGATAAATAACTCGTCTAAGAAAAGCATGTCAGCAGCCACGTAAACACATTAAATACAAGATGCAAGAAATATAGATGTCAAATGTGGCCTGCAGCAATGAGACTAATACAGATGCACAATAATGACTGAAAAATGAATAGAATATATAATGAATAGTTTTATTACCTGTTTTTATTTCCAATTCTTTTTTCCTCACCAGTTTACAGCCTGTTCACAATAAAGACAATCAGATTATAGAAATGCTGATGTAATCATTTCAATTTGATAAGCAGTCATGATACACAGTCTGGATAGGATTCTGCTCCACTGGGGACAAGCTTTCCCACCAGCATGCTTTTCCTGGTTTTTAACCCACTTTGCCGTGCCTCTTTCTGTGCCGTTTACATGTGAGATGCTTGACATCAGCGGGCCCCTCCTCCACTGCTGAGCCACTGTTCACAGCACTGACAGCTCGGGTCCCAGAACACTAATCAGCACGGAGTGGTTTAATCACAATTGTTACCAAATGGGCGGTGAACCTGCAAATTGTTATCTTCCCACACAATTTTTTCCATTGTGAAAATCTGAAGTTTGCAAAGGGGATTCATTCAATGGCGCTTGTATAAGAAATGAAAAGATTGATGCATGCCACCCTCCCATTTAAATCACCCTCAGCCAGTAAGTCACCACAAGGCAACTGTTGCCAAGAAGCTGCTGGCTCAAGGCCAGCTGACCTGTCAGTCACAGTGATTTGTCCGCAGCCACACCCTGTGTAACTCACAGTCTAATCAAACAGCCTTCAATACTCAAGATCAAGCTTGGAGTTTGGGTGTTTTTTGCGCCTGAGTGTAAATTGCAGCAGCAGCGGAGGAGTTTGAATAATAATGTCAGTCTCTTCTGCTGTGTCAAAATGACTTTAAGCTGATTTGCCCATCTGGAACATTTGTCTCCTCGAACGGTGATACCGTTTAAAATCTGGACACGTTACTCTTTGTGTGTGCGTGTGTGTGTGCGTGGGTGTGTGTATGTATGTGTGTGTGTGTGTGTGTGTGTGTCTTGTATGTCTGTCTTTGTGAGGAGCAACTTGAGTGTACATCTTTGAAGAGTGAGGACATTTTGGCCCCCTTGTCCTCGCTTCCTTAAAAAGCTGTTTTGAGGATTAAGAGTTGGCTTAAGGGTAAAGCGAGCCTTTGTGTGTAAATGTTTTGCCGAACAGCAGCCACTGTTGCAATTAGTGATATTTATGTCACAATGGTAAACACCTAGCACAGTGTAAAAGCAGCACAAACTAGAGATTAGTCAAAAAGTCAGTGAACTGGGTCAATAATGTCATTTCACAGCAATATCTATCTAGTTTGCTAACATTAGTCATCAGCTACTTCATACAGACCAAATAAGTCTGTAACAGCAAATCCTCTGAATGAATCGATGTGTATGCGCTTTAGTGTGTGTGTGTGTGGGGGGGGGGGGGGGCCCAATTACCCCCATTTGTCACGTAAGCTAGGAAAGCTGCTTATCGGTCAAGACTCATCATTATAAGAAAACATGATCAACAGCTGGTAATGTCAACAAACACACAACAATGTCCAGAACTGGACTTCTTTCTCAATATTTGATGTTGCTCAATTTCAACATGACGCGAAAAAAATAAAATAAATAAAATCATCTACTTTTTGAACTTTGGCTCTTTATACCTCTCTCTCTCTTACTGCTATACTCACATTCAAAATCTCTCCCACACTTTTGACCACCCTCCCTCTTTCTCTCTCTCACACACACACAAATGTGAACAAACACACATACTCTGCGGCCTCCCAGGTGAATAAACAGTGTGTTGCTGTACTTTGGAGTGGTGGATCTGTCTCTATGGCACTCAGTTCACGCTTTGGTTCTATAGTCAAAAGCGTTTGGACACGATGGCCAGACTTTGTTTACTGGCTTTTATAGCTGGCTTACTGCTGGAGGTGTACGGACTGGCCGCTGAAATCCCAGAGGAAAACACAGGTAAATGACAGAGGAGCAGGTACGGATTGAGGAGGCGTCAGAAGGTCAGAACGGTTAGGAGGAGGCTGGAGGTCATTTCTAAAGGCTTAATCTCTGACCCCAAGACTTTCAGAGACGCAACTCAAAAAATCTAGTTCCTTGTTGTTCTGAAACGTGGTTGTAAAAAGTTTGCTGTTACTTTTTGTCATAGAGGACAGCAGATGTGATACATTGTGCCACTTTTCATGCTTTCTTGTAACTGTAAAAACTGAATTCCTTTTGAATTCATTGTAAACACTGATGATTTAAAATGACTCGAGCTGTTGTTCTCCACAGTGAAGGAAACCACAACCTTTAAAAGCCGTATTGTAAGTCCACTCGGAGTGTTTGATACTCAACAAAAGTAGTCTTCCTACCAAAAAGCAAACCTGAGCCTGGTTTAGTTTTTTCGAGTACAGGACCTCTCTCCGACAGTAATACATCTATGGGTGAAAGGGACAGGTGCGTGCTGGTGTTCTAAAAACTCCAAGAAGTTAGTTAATGTAGATTTGCCCAACGATTTGGTTTCAGCAGTTGGATCTACAGCTGTGGTTGTGTCACACATGGAAGCAATTAAGTTTCTTTAAAACACTTATTAACACCCTATTCCTTCAATTTGTGTAAAAACGTAGACCTACTCCTTCTCAGAGTCGCAACTCTGTCAAATCTGAACACAGACGTGATACACATTATTTTAGCTGCAGTGGGACTTACACTTTCTGATCCATCGCAAATAAATGTCCACACATTTTCGGAGAAAACATTAAAAAAGAAGCTCCATGTAAGTCCTTTTGAAGGGCTACTACTGGAGAACAATAACAGAGCGTTTTCATTCATTTCCTTCTTTGTCTTCTGTTACCTTTTTAGGAGCAGTGTTCGTGTCTCAGCAGACAGCAGACACGGTGCTGCGTCGCCTCCGCAGGTACAACAGCGGCTTTTTTGAAGAAGTACATAAAGCCAACCTGGAGCGGGAGTGTAAAGAAGAAACCTGCACGATGGAGGAGGCCAGGGAGGTGTTCGAGGATATTGACAAAACTGTGGGTTAGACACACACATACACACACACATACAGACACGTATAATCCAATCTCCCACTGTAATAAAGTGGCTGAACTCTCATGTTTCTCATTAATGTCTGTGTTTTTATTTCAGATGGCATTCTGGTCCGTCTACATTGGTAAGACAAGTGAAAGACAAGTTGTCACAGTTACTTTACAGCCCCTCGTCACCTCTGAACCTGTGTGTGTATGTTTTATACTTGTGTGTAGATGGTGACCAGTGTCAGCCACCCCCCTGCCAAAATGGAGGTGTGTGTGATGACGGAATCAGCACGTATACCTGTTACTGCCAAGAAAACTTCAACGGCAAGAACTGTGAAATCGGTGAGTTCTTTCTTTTCGCTGACACACGTACAGTGTAATGCATTAGAAATGCACTGATACAGATATCGGTAACAATAGGCCGATCTGGTATATGTATATATGTTTTGTGTATATGTGTGTATATATATATATATATATATATACACATAGATACAGTCATACAGTGTGGGGGCTAAGATGATTAAGACAAGCACATAAAAGAGATTCCATCTGCTTTCCCGCCTGTTTCCAGAGATGAACAAGCAGTGTTTTGTCAACAACGGTGGATGTTCCCATTTCTGTTTCATGACGGCAGACAGACCCGTGTGTAAGTGTGCAACTGGTTACAAACTCGGGCCAAACAAGAGGAGCTGTGAACCAACAGGTACAAAAAAATCATAAACCATATATTCAGCAACGTGGTTGTTCAGGGTGTTGGTTATAGGCTACTGTATATGTAGAAGTTCATAAATTGTGTCTATGGCGTGTCCCTCACCACATCCCTAATCGCTGTGCTCTATTTTACACTCTAATTACTACACTACCCACATTACAGTGAATGCAGACTGAACAAAGAGTGCATATAATATATATTTTCAGTGGTGGAAGAAGTGCTCAGGAATTTCATGATGAAAAATGATGGAAAAGTAGCAATATCACGGTGTAGAAATACTCTGTTCAAGTAAAGTAGAAAGTAAAAGTCCTGCATTCTAGATTTTACTCAAATGTACAGAAGTAGTAACATCATAATATACTCAAAGTATCAAGAGTAAAAGTACTCATAAGGCACAATGGCTCATTTCAGAATAGTGGATTTTATATTATTGATTATAGTTATTGATTCAGTCAGTCAATAATTAATTAATGTGTAAACATCACTAATGACGCAGTTGGTAAAGAGGGAGCTCATTTTGACTACTTGATATACTGCTGTGTAGTTTAATCTATATCATCATTTATTGTTGAATTGATAATCCGAATTAGACTAAAGCTCTTAAGCAATAGGAGTAAAAAGTACAACATTTGAATTTGAAATATAATGGAGTAGAAGTAAAGTAGCAGAGATTAAGCTACAATGTTTGAATAAAAGTACATACTTTTGACCTGAGCATCGTAAATGTGCATGAAGTGCAATGCCAAAGCAAAAAGGGTAACTGTCTATGTCACATATGTACGAATGAAAACAATCTTACAACACTGGAACCTCATTGTATACAAAAAGATTTTGCTACTAAATTGTACCAGTTTCATGAAAACCTGGTGTCAGTTGCTTTACATAAACTTCCTCACCCACAGATGGATACGAACCAGAACTCAAGAGTGATATACGAGCCGTCTTCTAAACGGCAATAACACAGAATGCTGGACTCATCATGTTTCACTTCTCGTCCCACTTCTAACAGACTAGCTCATAAACTGTGTGTTTATAGCTGTCAAATAGCTTACATAATGTTCTGTTGACAGCATGAACACCTGCTTTTTAAACCAACGATGCCGGAGCAACTGCTTCAACATAGACTGAATCGACCTGTGATTACACTGACCGTAACCACCAAAAAACCCTTATCTTTAGTAAACACACCCATCTCTAACCTACTGCTGACACATTCCAAATTCTTACTAAAAACCTAACCATTACAAAAACCTAAATCAATTGGTCAGCTAGCTAGCAAAAGGGGAAACATAGAAATGGCAACTGCACTGTGGTACTGTATTTGCTCAGGATCCAGAGTGATCAACATAACAACCGTGTGATAATATAAGTAAAATCACAGTGAAATAGTTGAATCTGCCCATAGTTTAAAGCTATAGGGCTGCACCCTCAGCATGTGACAAAATAACAAAAGGGTTGCTCTGACACTAATAGTAAATGATGTCTAAGAGAGAAAACTAGAATCTCTCTCTCTTCATTTTGTCCTTTGTTCCCTCCTCAGAACAATTCAGCTGCGGTTATGTGCAGTCCTCCATAACCCCGCGGTCATCAAGCCCGGCAAACAGCTCTGACAGACAAGACAATTCCAACTACACCCTGGAAGATGACTTCGATGACGAGGATATCGTACAGTTTATTGATTACGACGACTTCAATACAAATGATTCAAACCCGTCCAACATCTCTGCGGCCTCAGCAGTAAAAAAACGATCAGTGAGGTCGGATTCAAGCTCCTCTGTAAATCCAGCGGCGGTTCTCATGAACAGTGGGGAGGCAAGCAGTGCCACTGAAACGGAGAAGAAGCAGCTGCCTTCCTGGGCTTTCTTCCCCACACTCCCCACCATCACAGCACAAGAGAACACTGATCAGAGGATTGTGGGAGGCGATGATGCAAATCCTGGAGAGATACCTTGGCAGGTACTGTAGTGTGGGGGTGCAGAACAAAGAGATGGGGATGAGCTGAAGGCAAATGGGTAATATTCACAGATGCGATTCAGTTAGGTGGTTTTTTCGCTTTCTTCTTTACAGAAGACGTGACGTATTATGACATCACCTGCAAATGGTGAACAATATTATGTGATTGGTTGTTTTTGTACTTCTTTGTTTTGGATTGTATGTTGCTTCTCCATCTAATCTTGCATAAATATACGACTTGAAAGTCTGGAGATATTAAAGCACAAAAGTGGACAAAAAAAGAAAAGAAGGAGAAGCATAGTGGGCTGTTTGCTTGCTGCTTCTGGATTTTTGAGATCTAAAGTTATATGCCACATATCAGCTGAATAAAGCAGACATCCGGTTGTGCAAGATTGCATATCACGCTACATTGTTAAACGTCAAACCTTTATAGTGAAGTAAAAACTGCTGTATTTTCCCTTTTAAGAGGCACAGAAGTCAAAGTGGGAAAAGGAGGTGAAAGATTAGACTGCAGTGGCGAGGAGAGAGGGTGGATGGAGAAGAGAAAATGTGAAGGGGACAAGGAGGCAGCATTGTGCTGTGATGTTGCTCTGCCATTTTGCACATATGGATGTATTTGTGTTTGTGTGCAGGTGGCCCTGATGTCTTCCTCAGACACCCACCAAAGAGCAGAGCCTTTCTGTGGAGGATCTCTGCTCAATGAATTATGGGTCATCACCGCTGCCCATTGTCTGGTGCTGGAGGGTACTGGCATAGAGAGTTTCTTCGTCAGAGTGGGTAGGAAAGACAAACATGTAATCTATGATCCATAACTCTAAAGTAAAGACAAACTGGTCTTAATCATTGCAACTGATGTCAGGACATGTTTTTCTTTGGACCATGTCGGTTATTTGCACATTTTATTCCAATAAGTACAAATTAATGCTGACTATTTCCCAAAGCATAACTTCTCTATCCTCCAAGCAGCCATTGGTTACAGTTCATGTAAGAACAAATAATTCATACTTGACACTTGCTTGAGACCGATAATCTAACAGTTATCAATGCATTTTATCCTTTTATTGTGTGGTAATGCAGTGGCCTCATCGTAGTTGGTGCATTCAGTGGCGCTCTGACGTTTGAGATTTAAGTTCAGAAGATGCTATAGACCTGACACATTGCTTGGTGCAGAGAGTAATTCTAATGCTTATACATTAATCTATGCTTCTAGGTGAACATGATGTGAGCCAGGATGAGGGTCCAGAGCGAAACCATGAGGTGGCAGAGCAGCATATGCACCCCACGTATAATGCCAAGAAGTCCCTGCATGAAAATGACATCGCACTACTGAAGCTCGCCATTCCAGTGGAACTGTCCAACCAACGGCGTCCCATCTGCCTGGGTCCCAAAGACTTTATAGAGAAGCTATTGAGGGACTCCAGCAGCTCTCTGGTGAGCGGCTGGGGAAAGCTTAGTTCAACAGGCCGACAGCCCACCACGCTTAAGAAGCTGGAGGTCCCCTACGTGGACCGCACCGTGTGTAAACAGAGCAGCACATTACACCACATCACACGCTTTATGTTCTGTGCTGGCTACCAAAGTGAACAGAAGGATTCATGCAAGGGGGACAGTGGGGGGCCGCATGCCACTTATTCCAACGGCACTTGGTTCCTGACAGGTATCGTCAGCTGGGGGGAGGAATGTGCCTTGGAGGGAAAGTATGGCGTCTACACTCGAGTAGCACGGTACTACTCGTGGATCTTTCGGACAACAAGGATCCGAATTATCAACTGACAAATGGAGTTGTCGGCCAACAAAACATACAGAGGAAGTGAAAGATGTTTTTTTACTGAATCATGTTATTTTGGATTCCTTAATAAAAAGTAATCAAAATATCTGAGTATTTTAATTTTTCTGTTGAAATATTGCAACCTAATAGCTTTTAGCTCTTCATACAATGTGTGATTTGCAACTAAATGCAATCTTAAAATGCCAATCTAAAATGTTATTTTATGTACCTGAATCTTAAGCGGGTGTTTTCAGTTATTCGGTCTAATTAAACCTCTTGCTCAGGTTGAGCGTGGGTCGGAAGATGTCCCTCAATGAGTCTATACAGGCCCACACAGTCCTGAAAGGTCTCATCGGCCAGGTTAGCTGAAAACACCTGTGTGGGTGTTCAGAGGCCTGGCCTGCTCACCACGCAGGTGTTCTCACTCACTTGCTGATTAGACCTCTGCTCAGGTGGACGTTGGGCAGAGATATGCTGACAATTCAGCTGTGAAAAAAGGGCAGGTTTAGCAGAAGGTAAAATCAGTTTGAAACACTGAAATAAATTGGCGGTGAATTTTGATCACATGGATCATAAAGGTGTGAGCTGTCCTGCCTCAATAGGTGCAACAAAACTAACAGCAGAGTAAAGGAGGTGACAATCACTGTACACGCCAACATAGTCCTGAAAGGAGGTCTAATCAGGCAGGATGAGTGAAAACACCTGTGTGGGTGCGCTCACTGTATGAAGCTCTGACGGTAAGCCTCCACTATGTTACATGGGGAAGAAATCACAGCAGTCAGGTTGAATCAAATCAAATAATCCTGTGCTTATATTTAGGAAAATAGGCATTATGATACAAGCTTTCACATGATTCAAAATATCAAAAAAGTGCAAAATGAGCAAAAGCAGCAATCACCAGTTGAAGGTACTGTGGAAAACACTTATTGAAGCCTGACCATTAATACATCTGATGTTACAGTATAGCCTGTGTTGGTTGGACATCAAATAAATGAAACATGATGAAATGTTTTATTGGTCACACCTCATTTTGACAGTCCGGCGCTCACTATCACGTGAGTGTAATGTCCCCACTGTGGGTGAAAATGAATCTTATTCAGGGTTAAAGTCAATCTTTAGTTTAGTTTAGTGTTACCAGCGGGATTCGATTAATAAAGATGTGGCAAATACTGCAGGAATGTAACTTTGGTCACTTGACAGATGAGTGCCAACATCTGACTGTCCAAAAAAGTTTCACCATTTAGACGACTGTTGCCCAAAGTTTAACATCTCATTTTTTAAATTTTTTTACCATTTACATATTCACAGTTAACTGAATAGCTTTCAGTAACTTAAGTTATATACTGTACTTGTCTGCCCTTCAGAGATTACGCCTCAGCACATATGGTGGGAAAGCTGCTCAACTGTTAACAGTGTCCAGAAAAACTGACTCGGCAGTTTTAAAACCAGGCAGTTTTAAAGAAGTTAAAATAGTCTCTCGTGAATGTTTTTTTCTAATTAATTCAAAGTCCATATACATGTAGTAATCCACAATGTAACTGTAATAGTTCAGCTGGCAATTATAGTTCTACACTAATTTATTTATTCCTAACACTGAGCATAATTCCCATGTTGGTGTAAAATAGCAGTACAGATAAAGCAACAGGCATGTGCGGTGATTTGTCCATGCAGAGCAGCGAACAAACAGAAACATAAAGCGCGTCTCATCTCTGTGGCAATAACAGCTGCAGCAGAGGACGAGATTCATTTGATGGAAGAGCTGCAGAATTATCGCCAATCTAAAATCAACACATACCAAAGGAAAAATGTTGACAGAAATAATAACATTATCAACAGCAGCAAAATAAATTGCAAAAATATTGCAGTACTTTCCCCAGACCCAGATAGTTCATACTGAATACTGACAAAGAGTGCTCCATCAATAGACCTTTTGTCACGGGGAACATGTTCTCTTGTCATAGCAGGAGAAGAACAAGTGGAACTAATAACGAATTATTAATATTAACGAAGGCTCTGCCCCATTTAAATATATCCCACTAAGGCATCGTGCACCAGACCAAGGCTGAATAGAATGCAGCCTTTGCTAATGTTATTAATTACACCTGTACTTTTCCTGCTATCATAAGGCGAGATCATCTTTAGAGGGCATGCAATGACATTTTCACATACACCAACACCACTAAGTAGCAAAACAAACCCACTATGGCTGATATGAATGGGGAGACCTTGACTGAATATTGCTGAATATTCTTTTCTTCCCTTGTTTTTTTCCTGTCATGTACATTCACCAAGAGGATGCTAAATGTCTGCTTTTGCCTATAAGAGATGGGGTAAGCATGGCGACATGCATAGTGACGTAGCTGGCTGCTGTAAGAATAAGGTTTGAATTCATTGAAAACAATGACACCACAAAGTAAAGCTATTTTCTATAACTGACCGCTTTATACAAAAAGAAGCCACGCTAATTAGCTGAGCTGTTTGGCACATGAACATTAATGATATGTTAATAGGCATACGCATGATTTCGGTCATACTTCATAAGAAAATAGAAATGATAAAACTTGTCCAATAAAAGTTCAACGTCTTTTGTTATAACTCCAAGTCCAGATAATCTACTGCTGGAAAAGAGAGATGAAGGAAACAAGGTTCCACATATGTGCTTTGCATTGTTACGGTCTTCTGAGGTCCATCCTGCATTGTACAGCCTTCTGAGGGTGACGATGTCACAGTAGTTGGAAGAGTACAATGTGCAGTTGATGTGCTTCAATCTGATGAACATCTCTGCAGTGTCACGTGTCCCTTTTTGATCAGGTAGTTGATGGAGTCTGTGTGTGTGTGTCATCTATCCTCTGTTCTGATTGGCTCTTAGCAGGTCTCTCCCAGAATCCTGTTCAGGTCCTCAGGTAGAACACGGCCTTCTTCCCCACGACTTACATTCCTCACCATCCTGCGATTCCACACGTAAACACAACAAGGATGCATAAAAAGTGACTATTTTACCATAAATTCCATTTTTTTTCAGGTTTGTTCACAATTCAATTCAAGATTGTGTGCAATAAACATTTCTGAAACAAATTTTACCACATTCCCGACATTTCCTCATGCAGCAGCTGGATGACATCACCGCAGTTAAAGATGATGTCATCAGTGCTGGCCATGCTGCTCTCTACCATGACCCTGTACCTGCCCGCCACCTGGAACACAAGAGAAGACAAGAACAACGCAGGAGAATGGCACATTTTGATACTTTTCCACATGCACAGCAGTCCTAACTCTATATCGAATACAGGTTCCATTGCCATCCAACTGGCAATTTTCGGCCAATTGTTTGCCCAATAAGTGCCAAGTGTTTGCCCACCAAGCTGTTGGTCATCAGTGCCACCCAGTTGAGGGAGGCGACAGATCGGTAGATGAGTCGAGCTCTCCGTGGTTCAGGCAGGACCTGTAGCCTTGGTGTCGCCAACCAATAGCACTCGTTGTGGTCTGTAAGTAGCTGTTATAGCTGCAAGGCTGAGTGTTCATATATTCCCAAAGTAGACTAAACAACAGATCACTTCTCCAGTATTGTGTTATGACTAATAAACTCTCACCAGGGGGGCCGGTTGATCCTCCTCGTCTGAGTCCGATAAGTTGGAGAGGTCTGTAGCTACACCCCAGTCCTCCAGACCCTCACAGATGGCCACTGAGTGGGCAGGAACAGGCCAAGCTGCAGGTGACAAGATGGCTGAGATGACTAACAACGGTAGCGCTATAAACTTCTGAATCACTAATATTCCATGATCTATGAGTATCCACTGTGAAAAATGACACCCATGACAAAGACATATTTCAGTCCTTCCAGGACGTTCATGAAAACTACTAAATTATTCTTCTGTTATATTTCAAACAAACCTACTTTAGGAAATGTAAATAAATGTTTATTAACTTTAAAGTGAAGCCCTACACTTCCAATGAGACCACTATTAATGGTCGGGTCATTGGAAAGGTTCAGGGCTACAAATATTTATAATCAGCTGACATTCAAGTTAACACTACCCCAATCTGTAAACAAGAAGGGGTCAAAGGGTTAAATGTTCATGATTCTCTGTTGTAAGGTTTTTAGCATTTTATCATCTTTTACATGTCCTATATTTTATTTGGAGTGTGTTCTGTGTTTGCCCTGGCAATAAAACAAATTCCCCCTTAAAAACAATGTCAAAGTTAAAGTTGAGAGGTATCATCTGTCCAAAGAAAGAAGGACCAGAAAGTCTTTAGAAGAGCAAAAGGTTTTCAAAAGGAAATGTGTAATTACTGTATGTACTAAAATGTTATAAAGTCATCTGTCTCAGCGACTCACTGCGTCGAGGTGAGTGAACTACGGGCTCCGTGTGGGTGGGGCTTGTGTATATTGACTCCTCCCCCCGTAGCCTGTGGGAGTAACTCGTCACGGAGGAGCTGTGAGGAAAAGGGAGACACGCTGAGCAGCCTCCCACCGACGCTCCGCCCCACGACACACACATCTCTGATGCACTAAACCGCATCACCATGGGAACAAGACACGACCACAACAAACAACAACAACAACAACATCCACGGTGTCACAAAACGAGCTCATTCGCATTCTGTAAATTAAAACAGCATTCCATTAAGTTCACAATCACATATATTCGAGATCGCTGCAATATATGGAAGTATTACTTTGAGTACACAGTATTCTGCACACATACAAGGCCTTGATTCAATAGCATTTGCAAATAATTCACAGTGTGACTTTAAGTAGTAGGCCTGTAGTTTGCACATAGTCCAATGTAAGAAAATCAAGACAAACACAGAAAAATGTTTAAAAGTCACTGTGTCTGAATATGTTAAAGCCTACACATCTGCTAATTGAAGTACAAACCATTGAAATAAAATAGGACTAGAACGGACATTCCCATTTAAATCAATGAAGAAGGATGGTTAGAGTCGCGGCCATTTCTAACGATCCATCCGCCTCACTCCTCGGCGCTACGGAGAAGGACAAGCTAACTAGCTAACTAGCCAGCCATCTGTCGCCGCAGATCTCTCTCCTAAGCGAGCTGCAAGAACGCTTTACGGCCAATTGACAAGTCTTGTCACCATGAAAACTAACAACAATCATCGCCGTTTTCTTTTGTACTATTGAAATGACCACAGATATTCCAATCCTATTCTATTTCTATGGTCGAAAGACTTCAATTACTTACAAATGCTATGTGACCGCACCTCGGTCGTGTACACAAATTATTAACAAAGAGACATTCATAGTATCTTATCCTGCATCTGTTAGTAACAATCAAAAATCCCACAAAACATTCTCTGAATACGATTATCCCATGCTCATATACTTTGACAACTGAACTGAGTCTTTGTGAGTGTATCCACTTTCAGGATATGGCTGGCATGAGGAAAAGACCAAAACCAACAAATGTTAGTCTATCTCTCCGTGCTTTCTGACTTCCCTTGTCCCAAGCTACGGAAGATGCAAATCTTTAAAAAGATGCAGTTCACGATTCCAAAAGGCTCTGTAATTCCCTAAAACAGCTGGGCCCTGTAGTTCTTGACAAACGTTTCTCAATCAGTAAGTAAGAGTGCATTTTTTGGGGACTAATTTTAGCTGCGGATTAATTCACAATCGATGCGCTAGTGTATGTGGGATTGACTAAATAGAAAGTAGTGTGCCCTTGTTCATGGTGATGAAGGAACATGTCAGCAAGTGCAACAGTGCAACTTATTGATGTATTTTTAATTGTTTTTGGACAATGGAGATATATGGCACAAAGGAATGCGCTATATCAGGCTTTGGCTACACAAAAAAATAGTTGTTAGAAGGATCAGTGGAGTGTTGGTTTTGATCTTCTCATTTTCATTTGACCGAATAATTTCCCTACACAATGATAACTGTGAAGCTCAGAAGACTTCACCATTCATCAAATGTGTGAGATGCTAGCATGCTATCAGTAAACAGAACATTAGTTTCTCCTACAAAAACACAAACACACATCCATGTTGACACTTTCCTTGAGAACCAGTGCTTTCAATGACCAGCAAGCATCAGAGCAACGTCTTGGGAAACCTTGGATAGTGTTCCAACAATTTTCTCTGACTTAAACTTTGTCAGTTTTCTCTTAAGCATACAAAATGTACACTCAACACACATGTTTCTTATTTACTCACCCTGTGACTGACACACACTAAAGAGCTGTTGAAGCAGCCTGGTAAGGTGTTGATTGCAATGGTATAGAATTTGGGTCTTTGCAGTTGATACGGTGTATAGCGCTCTCCATGGTGCTGAAATTCAGACGCGTGGCATTTCAGCACCACGGACAGTGTTAAAGCCATCTGCAGGACTTGGCAACATAGTCATGAAAACCAGTTCTGAAGGGTAATGAAAAAGATCCTGATACATCACAGACGCACACTGCACACATACAAACTCATCCAATACCTTGAACACACTGCATACATATTATCATGATGCTTTGGATTGGGTGGCAGGTGGGTGAAATTGAGGTGTTATTTCAGAAATTTAATTTATATCATGAACACTATAGGTGAGAGAAGTCTTTTCCTTAATGTATCAAGTTGTAAATCAATTTCTGAATTGAAACTGAATTAAAAGTGAGTTGACCCATCCCCACCACTACACATCAGGAGGTCATAAACTGACACAGAGGACGAATAGGATGCCATGCAGAGAGAATCACCTGTCAGAGAGGGTGTTGTCCGAAAGTTGAAGAGAAGGAGTCTCATCTGAGAAAAGGAGAAGAGACAGAAAACACAGACATATTGCCAGAGCTGAGTACAAGTTAAAACTAAAACAAAATCAGGCTTTTCAAAGACAGAAGGAAACATGTGAGTAATAGAAACCTTGACACATTTTCCGCTGGTTGGTGAGAATTTTTCGGATCTCTGTCAGCCAGGCAACTTTGACCTCCAGTGTGGGAGCCTAGACAAACACACACACACACACACACACACACATAGAGACCATAACCACAAGAGAGGTTCAAGTGAATAAGCTAAAGGTACACACACTGAAACACAAAATAAGAGATAGAAAATAGAAATCAAAAGATCAAATACCTGAACTATGTACACTACTTCTCTGCCACTGTACCAGATTTCAAATTTCTTCACATCTCCTTTCACATTTTCTGTGATTCCCACTGCACTCATCTACAGAAAGAAAGAAAAGTAACTACATTTCCCGATCAGCTGTCATCCTTACTGACTCTACATTTATTATACCATGTTCACCAATAATATGCAGTACAATTCAACAAAAGGACATGGTAAGCTTCATAAAAGGAGGATTTATTGCAGGGCTGTTGAATTGGATTTCATTGGATGTAGTTAGGTGTACCTAGTGAAGTGAGTTTATTATATATTGTTACTTTGAGGCAGGATTTGAAGCTGTAGAAGGGTGTCCTCTCGTGAGTGTCCTCGTCTCTGCGCTTGCAGAAGAGCAGGGCAAAGTCATAGAGGAAGAGATGCCTCTGCATGGGTTTGAACCTGGCCAGCTCCTTCATTCGCACCGCTGCCCTCTTATGGCTGATCCACACACTGAAGCCTCCCTGCATCACCACTCGGCCCAGCTGGCTGAGGTCCCCCTGGGACAGACAGGTGAACGGAGAAGAAGTAGATGAACTGAACCAACATGTGAGACATTTTATTTTCTGAGCAGACTGGAGCACAAAATGAAATGACATGTTAACATCCTTCAGTACAATGTCAGCACATAAAGCCAGTTACTTGGAATTTTCCAAGAACATAAAACTTTTTACTTTCATTTAATAGTTACATTTAATTAATGCCTAAGGTAGAAGAGAATAAAACAATGGGAAATAAGATAACACAATCTAATTGTCCACTCTATCTTGTCTTTTGATTTGACTGGTTGGTACCTGGTATCCAGTGATGGCTATCTGATGCATGGAGTCGTTGACAGACTTCAGCAGCTCCAGCATGGAGTCCAGAGCCTGCTGGAGTTCACAGCGGTGTCGCTCCTCCCTACAGTGCTTCAAAAGCTCCTGACCCAGGACAGAGACACAGGATGACAGGTCAGCGCTTTTGCAGTTTAACTAATGTAGTCTACAGGCATGGACGTTGTCAATATGTCTCTGTGCCCATTTAAAATAAGTTTTCTCATCTGTCTTTAGCAGTGTGTATGCTATGCTGTTGGTATAAATGTCTTGATTGCTTGGCTCTCTGTGCCATCGGCCCTTTGTCCAGCTGATTGCAGTCCACCAATTTGATCCAGAGTGAAATATCGCAACTATTGGATTTATCACCATGACATTTGTTCAGACATTCATGTGTCCGCCAAGATGAACTGCAATAACTTCTGTTATCCCTTAACTTTTCGATAAACTCAGATGGTAAACAAGGTGAACATGTTAGCATGCTGATGTTAGCATTTAGCTAGCATGACTGCAGACTCTTCTTCTTGATTTTCTGAAATGATGCACATGTAAACTAAAAAAAATTTGCCTTCATGATGGCACCTAAAAACTAAATCTCTTTAACGTGCATGGTGTTGGGTGACGCTCCATCACTGACTGACTCAGATGTACAAAACCTTGAGGAGCAGCTGGTACTTGGTGAGGCGTTGGACTGGTTTTAGGAGGTAAGAGTCCAGACCCAGCTTGTGGTCCAGCTTCTTCTGGCACTCCTGCAGAGTGAGACAGAGAGACTGCTGAATGAACAAGGCATAACTGGAGAACATTATTGGGTTCTGAAAATAAGAAACAGCTTTACAAGCAAACAATCTCAAGATCAAGTCTGCTATCAACACTAATCCTAATGACTTTCATACTACCTTGAAGAATGGTGAATCAGAGCACTGTCTCCATAGCAGTTCAGAGCAAGGCTTGTTCTGGCAGTAACGCTCATACACCTGGAACTTCTCTTTCTGCTCACACACACGCACACACACACACACACACACACACACACATACCCACGTACTATTAGATATGTTATGTCATATCACTTCACATAAAGTTCCAGTGTTTCTCCTCATTTTTTCTTTACCCGTTGCAGGAAGCAAGTCCCCACCCTCTCTGGTGTCTCCAGGCAACCCTGCAAATCTTGGAGGAAGATCCTAAATGTAGAGGAAAATGAAAGGAAATTGGATTCGCATGAAAAGACGGGGAGACAAGGACAACTCTGTGACAGCTTGCGTGTGTGTGCGTGAGTTGCCTGCTGTGTAACTGGTAAATCTCTGGCATGTTGCCAAAGAGAACGTCCTTCTGGCTGCGTAGAGCTGGAGGAAGAAGATTAGACATGGATGGGTCCTCCATCTCTGCCCTGTAGCCCTGAGGAGAGGAGATAACACCGATCACAGGACCAGAGAACTTGAAAACAGGAATCACAAAATGTCATAAACATAATCTAAAATCAACTCACCAGAAGGACAGAGAGCAGCTCGTCCACATAGATCCTCTCTGTAGCGATCAGTTCCTTCATAATATGGCTGGTAAAAGTGAGAATGAGAGAAAAATTGACAAAAACTGAACAAAACACTATGCTAAAGCACTATGCACACTGTGACATCGGCAACAAAAGAAGTACAAATACAGTGGAAAATTAGAGTAAAAGGTCAAGCTTTAGGTGAAGGATCATGTGTGACAGGGGAAAGACTGCGTACCGCGTGAGCTGCTCTGGATTGTCTTCTGCCTCTGAATCTGTTTCAGGGGCGGAGCCATACACACAGCTGCGGTTGCCTTGGAAGTCATGCATCACCTCGATCTGACAAAACACATATTAAACAGGTTTTTTTAAGCTTGGAGCCGTGGACACATTTGTAACATGGGCCTATTTTAATCAATAACATTATGCTGCTAACATTTGATAACACTAAACAAAACAAAACAACCTATCCAATAGTTGTTGAGACATTTCACTCTAAAACACAAATGTGAACCTCATATTGATACAGGAAATGTCAGAGGATCACCAAAGTCATTAGGATTCATCCTCTAAGGATCATGAATGCGTGTACAAAATTGAAAGGCAATCCATCTTACTGTCGGCTTAAAACACTCACACACACACACACACCTTGCGTTGGCTGTTGTTCCTCCTCGCGGCTCTTTTGCCAGGTAGCAAGTCAAAAGAGAACTTGGAGTTCAGGACGTTAAAGTCTACACCTGTGGGGAGAATCACAGAGGCACACAAACGAGTGATAATGGAGCGAAGAGGAATTGCAAACTAAATACTGCACATGAGATATACAATAGAAAACAAAACGGGGTGCTAAATGTCAAATGCAGTGCAGGAGCGAAGTTAAGATAACTGTATCATAATAACATCCTATTCAACGGCAGACAGTAGACAGATTCTAAACCGTGAAAACAAATCCACACTACAAAAATAAGTGTAAACAGCTATGGGATGAGAAAAGGAGCAGTTGAGGTGGGTCGTACCATGTTTGGGGGAGAAGAGGGGTGACTTGCAGCGCTGCTCAGGTTCAGGCCTGGGGGCCACCAGCTGAATCGGTCTGACTTGTACGTCCGCCAGCTTCCTCAGACACTGCTCTCTGTTTCTGATCATGGACTGCACCGCGTTCAGCTTCTCTGTTACCATGGAAATTTGGGACTAGAGAGAAAAGAGGTGTAAGTTGAGCGGAGAAGCGGATCATCTGGAGTGCTGGTGTTCAGTAGCGGTGGGTTACCTGCAGCTGTGGGGTGAGTATGGCTTCAAACTCCAGGCTCAGAATGTCCTGGCTGTTTTTCAGTGCAGATGGCGCCCTCTCTTGGTGAGAGCTCAGGTACTGCAGTGCCTCCTGAGCTCCCTCTCTGGTTTGGAACTTGTCCACCATCTGACTGGCTAGGACATAGGCGCCATCGTCACACCACCGAAGGGCCTGCGCACACACAAACACAGGACACAACGCAAGAGAACACGTTTTGATCCAGGCACATTTTTTAATGTGATTAAAACAAAGAACAAAGAAAAGGTTCACATGAGGATATTGAACAATTGTCCTTTTAAGACTTTTGCCCCCGTTATGTCAGACATGACACTCAAACAAAACATTAGCTGTCTTTGAGGAGCACAAATCTAAGATGGATGGATACAGATTTGGTGACATTGCACACCTACATTTGTGAGAATTATGTTGTTTTTGCTGAAACAGAGCATGCACGGTCAACAATGAATTACTCTTTAATGTTTTTGTTTTGCATCAATAATTGTGAGTTTGCATGTTTGTGTGTCGTGGCAGCATTTTTACCCCTTCAAGGCGGAGCAGCAGGTCTCGTGCTCGGGTAAGCGAGGCCCGCTTGGTGCGTACGGCAGTGGTGATGATGTCACAGTGATGTCGCAGCTCGTTGCAGCGCTGGACGATGAGCGCCAGGGCGTAATGGTGGTTGGCGGCCAACTGGTGGCCGTGCAGGATCAGCACCTGGGCGTGGCCCATCTCCTCCTGAGCCACAAACACACACTTAAAGGTTTAAACCGAATGCAAGAAGACACTCATGGTTGTCTGTAACAGGAGTGCTGCAGAAATGACAGTTTTTTTGTAGGCCAACCCAGAAGTTAGCATCGTACTGATACGACACTATCAGACCGTCTGACATCAGAGACAAGACATGTTATTAGAGCATTTTGCTCTGCTCGGTCTCTTCCTTCAAACAACACCTCAAGCTGAAATTGTGCGCTTGTTGTGTGACTTTGTTTGTGACCTGAGCGCATGTGTCCAGCATCTCCAGGTCCATCAGTAGCTGTTCTGTCTGAACCACCGTGGTTCCCACAGAGGCAATGTCCGTCTCCTGGTCACTGATCCTCTCCAGTGCCTCCTCCATCTACACGTACACAAACACACACACACACACACACACACACACACACACACACAGAGTCAATCGTCACAGCAGTGCAACATACACAGCTAATATGACAGACACTAATCATCACACCTGCTGAAAACTCATTTCATAGTGCAGCAGCTGGAGGTACTGGTGCATCTTCAGGTGGTGTTTCTCAAAGAAGCCATCAAACGCCTCCTCCATGTCTCTGAGCTGAGCCAGGAGCCTGAAACACATGCGATACACAGACGTTCACACAAGCTGTCTGGTTTAATAGGATGTTAGTGTCAGGGTGGGTCTTCTAAATCCTCTCATCTATTCCTCTTTCTCTCACTACTATCTTACTAACTTCATTTAAAACTTGTCTTGTGCAAAAGTTCTTTCTCTAAAGAAGATGTCTGTACCTTTGGACTGTGTCCATGTCTGATTTTATGTCCCGCTCCTCCTCTACATCTCTCTTAGAGGCTTTGACAGTCTCCAGGTTCGACAGCAGCAGCCTACCTTCTTTCGTCACGCTCCGGATATCGTCCTGAAATAACATGGCAAACAACAAGAAAAGACAAATGAAATCAAAAAAAAAACAAAACTGCCAGACACAGAGACACAGAGTGAGAGAGGAAAGTGAGAAGAGCCAGGGGAGACCTTCATCTGTCTGTATCGGTGTGTGTGGGAGTGCAGCAGGAACTCGATGGCATTGGCTTCATCCGGAAGTTCGGTCTCAGATAGCTCTGATCCAAAGCCCTGCAGCAGCTGGGCGATCTCCTTCACTGTCACCGCAAAGGTCTCAATGGCCTGCAGATACACACACACACACACACACACACACACACACACACACACACTTCTAATTAAAATGGGTTTTTCAAATTGAGTAGTTTTAGCCAAATACAAGAACAAAAATAAGGCCTGTAAGAAGGGCTCATGATTGTTTTTTTAATTTTAGTTGCAAAACCCATTAGGGAAGTTTGCAGCTTGTGCAAACATGGATTTCATTTCTGTTGAACTTCTTTATATTCAACAGCAGCATTCCACGCTCTGGTGAATTGACTGGTATCAGAAGGGTATACCGTGCGGAGGACGATCCAGTCACTTTGGCAGTACTCCACTTTTGCGGTGAAGTCTGTTGTCAGGTGGTTTTCGTCGATGTACCGCAGCAGGTCACCGACTGAACGCAGCATCACCACCTAAAAGCACAGAACCACAAGGCATCCAGTGAGACAACATCATGTTTCAACTTGTGCGTTTGGCAGCATGTAGTTAGAGGAAATAAGAGAAGAGCATCTACTGTTTCTCAAAATGGACAGGAAGAGTGTGTGGGGCGTGGACTCGAGCTGAGACAGGATTGTGCTGCGTCGGATAAATGAAATAAATATGTTTACGTGAAAACAAGGAATAATTTTCTCCCATCCCTCAATTTTAACCCCTTCTCACCGGCATCTTTAACAGGAAGTCATCCTGGCTGAAGCGGAAGCCCAGGTCAGTGCTTGAAGACGGACTCGGGGTAGAGCTAAACAAGCCGGTGGGGCGGAGCACCAACACCAAATGCAGATTTCCTGGAAATGAGGTCTGAAAAAGGAAGTGTATTATGGTATTCAGCTACGTGTTATTAGATGATTAGACGCAGGTTAATAGTGGACTAGAAAAGAAAAGAGAGCAAAGGATGAAAGGTATAGTAATTAAAAATGCATTAGGTGACAATTTACAATCGCTTTTAGACGTGAGGACAGACCATGAATATATTTAGGGGAAATGTCTTAATGTCAGCCAAGCAATGTGCTAAACTGACTTCTGTGGCTTTATCCTCCACCACATCCCCGGATTTGGGCAGAGGAGCACAGGATGAGAGGAGTCGGACAGTCAGTCAGGAGTGTTGACAGTCGTGCGGTCGAGCGAAGCTCAACACAGCATCAGCATCTCTCTGTGTCAATCAGGGAGCAGCTCTCTGACAGTCAGCTCCTCCTTCGACTGACTCTGCTTCTTCGTCACTCTTCTTCCTTATAAAGTGCCTTGCATGCCCTCCCTTTACCGTCTCTATACAAACATTGATCTGTCGTATTATTATTGTTATTATCACAACATCCCTTTTTTGTGTCTGTCTTTATGTCTCTTTATAGAGACATATAGTATATATCTCTGTATTGAGCACAGTGGCACAAGGATCAGTAGACGGGGCCGTTGTCTTTTAACTTACTATCTTATTACTTCCAGTTCTGTCCAGCTGAAAGTTCCACAAGCTTGATGACGACTGAGCAGCAACCAAGTGTACCAATTGTGATGACTCTTCCTCACCTGCTTGCCGTCTTTCTGCCCCATGTCCTCTCCTCTCCTCTCCTCTCCTCTCCTCTCCTTTCCTCTCCTCTCCTTTCCTCTCCTCTCCTCTCCTCTCCTTTCCTCTCCTCTCCTCTCCTCTCCTTTCCTTTCCTCTCCTCTCCTTTCCTCTCCTTTCCTCTCCTCTCCTCTCCTTTCCTCTCCTTTCCTCTCATCTCCTCTCCTCTCCTCTCCCCCAAAATACCTGCTGTCCACCCCACATTTACTTTGCACTTTGCTCCATTCTATAGTCAACAGACCTGGCAGGGAAAGTGCACTGTATCTGCCTTCATGTGTGTTGTAATAATCACATAGCCTTTTAAACTGGAAACTGCTGACCTTACAACAAATACACACAGCTTTCTCTCCAACTCACTTCGGCCTACCTTTAGCCTTTTGTACCAAAGTCATCCAAGTCATCATTATGAACCTGCTCCTGAAGCAGCCATGCTCGGTGTTATTGGATGATTGCATTCCACAACTGCATTTAGATTGTGGGCATCAAGTATTTCACGCATATTCCCAAATCTGTTACATAAGGGTGCATAACTTGAAAACACTCCACAGTAACTGTCGGCAGACTGCAGTGCCCAAAGCTGATAGAGACACACGCTGTCCTGTATATCTGCAGTTACAGACACCCACACACACACACACACACACACGTTTGTCATTGCCCTGTCCTGCACACAGCCTCTTGACATTTAACTGCCATCGGACCGGTCTCTTCGCCGACCGGTTTTAAATATCGGATGCAGTTTGCGCTGTACTAAGAGCACATCCCCAACCTCTGTGTCGCAGCACTGAACTGTCTTAAGAGCAGCTCGTCTATCTCCCTGCTCCTCTCTCTGCTGCAGTGTCCTCGCCGCCCCGTTTGAAGCCTCCCCACCTCCCCACCTCCCGAGCGGAGCTTACCGCGGCTCGGCGCAGACGGGGGAACCCCCGCAGCGGGTTGGACTCGGCCATGGCTTTCGGCGCTTCCCTGTTCCCCTGATCTCCCCGGGCCCGGGAAGTCTGCGGCGGGACGTGGTGTCGGGAGCGAGCAGCCGCAGCGATGGCAAGGTAACCCACACTGCAGTGTCCGGGCGGGCCGAGCAGCGCGCTGAGTCCTCAGCAGACGCAATTCTCCTCTGGACCAGGAGAGGTGGGATGTGTTTCACCTACCTGACGTCAAAGCCACAATAAGTGTGTCGCTCCACAGCTGCACAGATGTCCATCTTGTTATTAACGACCCCTCAACAGGCCTATAAACGATGCTTTAATTACATTTTCATTATGACTTCGTAATATTCATATTTAATAAGTATAACTGCCCTATCTCACACTACTGTAGGATAATTTGTCTTACCGTTTCCCAACTTGAAGATGACTTTTTCTCTGTTATGTGTAATTGTTAAACAGAGATATACTGGCTATGAAGCACTGGCTGGAACAGAAGAGAAAGAGAGATAGTAGCTATTGGGTCATTTCCCTGGATCCGCTAGATGGCGCTCGTTACTCATTAGATTGTAAACCACCTCTGGATCACCTTTTGACATAAACGGCAATCATGGTGCAGTTAGGGGGCCTCGGAGCAAAGATTTACAGTCGGTCCCCCATTGACAAGCCCCCGCCCTCCTCCCACTCTCTGTGCACTATATAACCTGTCACCTCCAGCTTCCCATCAAATACAGACCCAGCAGAGTATACAACACCAGAACAACTCCAGGGTTTTCTGTGTGTGCACTAGTTTGTGGTGTTAATGCCCCTAAAAACTTTGTTCCAAACCGTGTGTAACGTTAAATAAACGCGAGAGTCCTGTGAGTTCTTTGCTTCTTTAATGCTTGATTGACCTTAGTATCCCACAATATGTTTTGGGTGATTAATAATGAGTCTGCTTTCCCTTTGCAGATCTAAAACCACACACGCAGACAGAGGCAACAAATGAACTAATAAGAAATGATCCTTTGAAAATAAACTGCTGTGCATGAATGGACCTGCTGACTGCTGATCATATGCTCATATCCATTAAGTCAAGGCCAGTGCAACATTAGAACCATTTAGCTCAAGGATAGCTTCACAGAGTGTCAGTGTAGACTTGTTGTTGTTTCTGTTCATCTGCTATGATTGCATGGGCTCATTTCACCTGTACATTATCTCATATTATACTATAGCTTCATGTAATGTACCTCATCTTATCGGTGTGCATCTTTTCATCTCTTTCTGTCCTAAATAATTGTTTTTGCTGGTTGTGCCCTTTGGCTGACGCACCGCATGAGACAATCCACATATTAGTGTTTGGTCTTTAAAAAGGCTCAGCATCCTAATGTGCGTTCACTCAGCTGGTCCTAAATAAAACCTCTCATGGGAGCAATGCCAACTTGGGCTTATCTAACCATGTCCTAACATGAGGGTAATTCACTCTGTAGCCTATGTATGTCTGCTCCCTATCTATTCTCATCAACTTCTGTTAAAAGAGGGTGTCATTTTGTATTGATAGTGCTTTGTTTTGGTTAAAATTGATACATTCAAATGTTTTTTCTCCATATAACAACTAATATGACACACTTGGAACAAGACAAACACAAGTAACTCTGGGTTTAATTGGGTCTGCAGAAACAAAGAACCTGTCTTGGTATAATAAACCTGGAATAACAGTTACTGAACCAATGTGGTTAAAGGCCTACTATGCAGGAATTGTCTCTTATAAAGTAAGAATGAAGTAAGTTGCATTAAGTAGACTTTAAGTAAGTAGAGTCTCACACTCTGACTATCTGCCTGTTTCTGCATTAAGGTATAAATCAGTTATACTTCTTCAATTCACCTCTTTGTCTCGGTCATCTTCTCTCCCCTAATATCAGTTTCAGTCAATCCAAACTAATATAGCACGTTTTGAGTATTTCCACTATTTTGATTTCATTCTGTATATTTGTAACAAATGTTTTGAATAAGATGTAGATACCACAACAATATTTTCAAGCACAATCAATGCCTGATATCAGTGATTCAAAACTCCAAAATATTCACAATCTTTGTCTCTTTTAATTTGTGTGTGATTGTTCGTCAGCTGGTCATGTGTTCATCGGGGGAGAGCCTTCCCAGAGGGAATCACATTGTCACAATGTGTTTGGCTTGGTGAGGGCGAGAGAAGCCACGCTATTTCCAGGAAGCTAATTGCACTGCAGACAAAACAGTGATAAGTATACTGGCGTGTGACCTGTTCCAATAATACCTGAGCCTACTATACATGTTTTGTTTTAACTGGGCCAGATCACCAATATGTGCAGTTATGCACGATGTTGCCTAAGGCATAGCCATATATATATATATAAGAAATAGCCATATATATATATATATATATATAAAGCCACCTAACACTTAACCTGCACAGCTTCTATATTTTGATTTGAGCGAACTTACACCTCAGTTCATTACAACACACTGACCCTTTCCTTGTGGACAAGCATTCAATCAGGGATTCCCGCAAATATCAGTGAGTCAGTATGAGTCGGTGTTATAAAAGTATCCACCAATCTGAACCATTGTGAACAAGCCTCTTAAACTGGCCCTCATTTTTCACATTGTCAAAGTTGAATACAGTATTCTGTATGTGCTTGTGTCAGCCCTTTACGAGACACCCTTGCTATGACAGTACTAATGTATCAGTTGGAAAACAGGAAACTTTGATACCTTGAGTGGGATTTAAAATAAACTTTGAACTTTGAACATGAGCTTGCTATAATGGATCTGTCGAAGAATTCGCGGAGGTACAAAGTTCAAGGGGGAATCTTTCTGGTGATTCTGGATCATCTCCGACACGTTCACGAGACACTGTTGAATAAGACGGCTTACTGTTGCATTGCCGTCGATGCTTCCATCAGCCACACCATAAGAAGACTAGGAGCCCTTAATCTGATGAGAACAGACTGGAATACTGATAATCTCCACACTGCTCCACAAAGACCTACACGTTTTACACACCTTGTATTTGTACTGTTTACTCTTTGTTTTACAATGTAAAACAATTCATTTTAAATTCTCTATCTATTGGATGGAGAATCGTGTTGTAAGTTTGCTTAACCTTTGTGTCTGTGAGCTTTCATAAAGCAACACTAAAACAATATAATAAGCAAAAAGCAATAAGTGCAGTTTCTTTCAAATACAAGTCAACCAACATATCTAGCAGCAAACCTCATGTCCTGACACATTCAGAATCCCTCTGAGATAAATTAACCCTGATTTGAACAGGCCTTAAACTTTATGACCCCCATTTATTCCAAATTAAAGGAGCCCCGATTGCTTTGTTTGTGGAGGTGCAAATGGGATTATCAGCCTAACTACTACCGCAGCCATGTGGCGACCATGTTGTTGTATGTTTGTCCCTGTGATTTAGCTGGCTGGTATTATCAAACCCTTTGTAGTCCAAAAAAAGCTATCCGCTGATTGCTTAACTGGATTATGCAGCAGGCATCGACAGCAATAATGGACAAGTTAAACCCGAATGATGCTCAGCGAGAGGCTGCACGTATAAAAAGGCCGATCAACTGTCGCAAACCGCACTCTCCACTTACCCTGACACACTTCACCAAGCTCCCAGACAACTGAGAAGAGGTAAGACTTCATCTTAATGGATTGATGGATGAGTGGATGGATGGATAGCAATGATACTAATGTCGACGTGCAGCTGTTGCCTGTTGTCAATTTGGAGCATGATTTTCATCTTTGAATAGAATACAGTGATAAGGAAAAATTACATGGACTCATTCTTGAAGGATAACTAGGGGTTGTGCAAGAAACTTAACTTAAAACTGAAAATCAGTGAGTTTTATTAAACCCTTTGGAGATTTTGTTTTACTCATCCTAATTAAATCCCACTGTGCAGTCTTTCACAGGCCATTTTACAGCGTACGGTTTCCTAAATGAGAGTTGGGAAGCGTTTCTACAACAAATAAATGTAAATGAGAAAGATATGTAGTTTTTCTAAATGCTTGTGTACAACATAGCAGGCTGCCCTAAGGCTTCAAAGTATGGCAAATGGGGTATTAAAGCAGCCTTCATGGTTGATGGCTGGTTTGCGGGTTAATGTGCTGATTTCCCAGAATTCTTCTGCACAGCACAGCATTGCAACCCTGATGCTGAGCCACAAGTACCGTCTGATGTCAGTCGTAGTGATATAAAAATGTTAATCGTAAAATGTCCCTGTGTGAAATACAGATACGAGACACAGATCCTCAGCTCAGGGGTGAGATCAAGTCGCTTAGATCATCTGTAGCCAACCACCAGCTGTAAGGCGGCTGTAGCTCAGTGTTACGGAGACCGTCAAGTAATCAGAAGATCAGCAATCGATCCTGCTTCTTACTGTCTGCATGTGGAAGTGTCTCTGAGCGAAACACTGAACCACAAGTTACTCCCCGGGCACTTAGCAGCAGCCCACTGCTCCTAAATGCTGAGGATGGGTTAAATGCAGAAGTCAAATTGCATGTACCTGCATGTATATGACCATTGACATAAAGGTTACGTTTTAAGTGTGCTAAACTAATATAAGTGGTATAAAATGTTAAATAATATAGTTTTTGATAGTTTTAACAAATACATTATTTAGTTCATTAGTACTAGCTGCAGAGGTCACAGGTGAGCATTTTCTGGATATCTCACAACAGTTAGACTTGATGGATGCACCTTTGCTGTACCTCTCTGTGTTGCTGAAATGCACATGCAGCCCTTGTTCCTCAATCCACATAGTTGGTATGGCTTGGAAATTACTCCGTACAGTCTCTTCAGTCTCCATACAATGAATGTACGTAACGCAGCGATCTCTGCGTTTTTCCTGCACTGTTCTTTTAAGCTTTGCGTTGAGGCAGGACAAGTAAATGTGCTGGGAAATAACCAATTAAGCTTTTACTTACTAAGTTCCAAGTTACCACGTTTTTCATAATAGTATAGTAAAATAGTAAATATTAAGTAAAACTCGCAAGGGAATAAGACCAAATAGTCTCAGTACAGTAGATGATGCCAGAAATGAATTTGAGAAGTTAACAAACCTTTATCATTAATGAGCAACAATTAATCAAACAGCTCTCTTGACCTTTCTGTAATAATCCTTATTACAAGGCTATCGAGAGCTAAAGTTTGTGTCCAAATAAGTCCAGGAATACTACAGCAAGTTACTGAAGGGGTTTTATCCTTTTAACAGTCTTTGAATAGTCCAAACAAGCAACAGCTTTGGCACCGCTGGTACGTTTGAGGGGAACACTTTGGGACATAATCATGTGCCGTGTAGCCCTTACACAGATGGCGTAACCTTATCTCAAAGGATTAACCTTCTGTACCCACAAAAACAAAACATTAATCTAGTCAGTATAGACAGTTGATGAAGGATCAATATCTTAATGACATTATCATCTGACCTCTTATTCATACTATGACCTCCTAATAACCTAAAGTCACTTATTTCTTTTTCTTTCCTTCGAACAGACGACTTGCAGAGATGGCAAAGTGAGTATTGTTTTCCTTTTGTTATTTGCTTTCTGCTCCCCTAAGGTAGTTCTCCTATTTCAACTTTACCTTTAAAGAAACAAAAAATCTTCATAATGTTGTTCTAGAGATTCACATTGTAAATTCCAAAAAACAATATAAGTTATCATTTTTGGACTGACATTAAAACCTGGGTCAGGCAATCCATAGAATTGTCAAATAGTTTAAAAGTATTTATCTAAGGTTTGTAAAAGCTTAGTCGGTTGATGCATCGGTTCAAATTTGGCCACAGGTAATCAGCTATTTAGGAACCCTGCAACACCATTTGTAGCTCCCTCACCTGGGCCAACCTGTCAATCCGGGCACGGCGAGGTAAAGCTGCTCCACACTTAGCTGTTCCTAACTGGATAAAAGGAAATAAGGGATTACTGGCCCTTCTGCTGCTTGCAAAGGAACATACATTACCTTCAGAGACTCAAACTAATCAATATATTATCTGGTCAATGCAGACAGTAACTCAGTTACAATCCCAAGCTTCTTATGTTGACTGTTCTATGACAAATCAATAGTTCTACATTCAACTCTTCATGAATAAGAAACAGTCAAATAACAATAATATCAATACTAATGGCAGACGAATAATATGTTGAAGTGGTGTTTCTCTTCATTTCTTTCACAGGGTTTTCAAGAAGACCAGCAAAGGCGGAGGGGTAAGTTACAGTTGTTAAGTTTTTTCTTGAGTTCTTCTCTCGTTTTTTAAATTATGTCGTGGTTTTGAAATATTTTTCATTAATGGGAAATGAAACACTCAACTGTTTCCTTTCCTTCGGTCTGACAGCTGACTCTGTGCCTGGGGAAGAGAGACTATGTGGACCACATGGACAAAGTGGACCAAGTTGGTACGTTCCTCCTTCAATACACATGTGTGTGTGTGTGTGTGTGTGTGTGTGTGTGCACAGCTGCATAGAGAGTCTGTTAAATATAACATCGTCTGCACTACATTTACAGATGGTGTCGTAAAGCTGGACACAGCAGATTTTGCAGGCCGGAAAGGTAACATCATCAGTAACATTTCAAAGTCCTGAAAGACAATCACTTACCAAATCGTCTCATGCAAGTGATGGTAATGAAACAATGAATTATGTGTCCACAGTGTTTGTGCAGCTGGCATGTGCCTTCCGGTACGGGAGCGACGACCTGGATGTGATGGGCCTGTGCTTCAGGAAGGACATCTGGATCACGCATGTCCAGATCTACCCAGAGAACCACAAGCCCTCTCTGAGCGAAATGCACAACACCCTGATTAAGAAACTTGGAGACAACACATACCCTTTCACTTTTGAGGTATGACATCGTGTCCAGATACCAGTGTGACCGCAGCCTGTTCGACCCCACATTCTGCCTTTTGTGTTCAGGTTGAAATCAAATGTTTATTTTACTAAATGCACGCAACATTTCATGGACAGTTGATACCGACTGTTGACAAAGTAATGAGTCCTTACAAGTTACTGCTTGTCTGATATATTATTAGTCTAAAGGGGAATTCAATTTGTTTCTATATAATCCAATAGAGCATACAAAATGAAATAAAACATTATGCCATCCTGAAATTCACTTCACTAAAGCACAAAAAAGCCAGAAAAGGTTGATTAATGAGTCTGATCTCCCATAACTGATTTCTATTAAGTTGCAATCTCTGAAAATATTCTCCATTCTTTGTATAAACAGATAAAAGTAACTCTTCTTCTTTGTCTCTCTAGATTCCCAACAACCTGCCATGCTCCGTCTCTCTGCAGCCCGGACCAGATGACAAGGGGAAGGTAAACCTCATGCTGATCTGTGAACACCGTCCACCTCTCCATGCATCGTTGTCCAGTGTGTAAGCAGCCATGCTCGCTGTTGTGGTTGCTAACGTCTTATATTTGCTTTGCAGGCATGTGGTGTCGACTTTGAGGTCAAAGCGTTCCTCGCCAATGACAAGTGCAACGCCGATGAGACGATTGACAAGAAGTGAGTATGCTGTCATTCTGTCACCATCTCTTTGTATTCATTCATCTTCCAAATGTTTGCCGTACTATTCTGCCTGATTAACATCTTACTCTCCTCTGTCCCATTCTTCCCCACAGGGACACCGCTCGCCTTATCATTCGTAAAATCCAGTACGCCCCCGCTAAGGTGGGCACCGGGCCCAAGGCTGATGTCTGCAAGGGCTTCATGATGTCCGACAAGCCTGTTCACCTCGAAGCTTCACTGGAGAAAGATGTACAGTAGCAAAACTTAACGGCTTTAAAGTGTTATATCTCGGCTCTTCTAGATGTTTGTTAATGCTTCCAGAGTGAGTTTGAATGCGGACTATGTTTTCCCAACTCTACAACCATTCCCCACCATTAACTGGTTGTTTCCTGGTTTTGACCTCAGCTCTACTTCCACGGTGAATCAATCCCAATCAAAATCAAAATCAACAACGAGACTAACAAAACAGTTAAGAAATTCAGTGTCACCGGTGAGTACCTCTGCTGACAGAAACACTCCTTATTCAGATTTGATATGACTGTTAGAGCACAACATAATAATCTGTTGCCTTCTTCCTCCTTCAGTGGAACAAACCACAGACATCGTCCTCTACTCTGCAGACAAATACACCAAGTCTGTTTATAACCAAGAGTTTGGGTAGGTGAACAGAACACTGAGAACCACAGCAAACATCAGTTGCAGTTTGGTGTGTTCATGTGTGGGTTTGTTGGTGTTTAATCCTCCGCAGAGAGACGGTGGAGTCCAACAGCACCTACGAGAACACTCTGAGCATCACCCCCGTTCTGGCTGACAACAAGGAGAAAAGGGGGCTGGCACTGGACGGACGACTGAAGGATGAGGACACCAACTTGGCCTCCACCACTATGTAAGTGCACAAATGTAGCAGACAGGACGACAGCAGGATTTATATGTACTTCATGGAGCTTTTCTGGCATGTCACTCCGTGCCCTGTCTTATAATAGTTTTTAAAAAGACACTTAATTGAATTAAACCTTCTAATCCCACAAATCCTTGTTGTAATTCTCCGTAGGCTGCGGCAGGGTGTTGAAAAAGATTTGTTGGGGATCCTGGTTTCCTACAAGATTAAAATCAACCTCATGGTGGCCGGAGGAGGGTGAGTGTCTAATCCCGTTTAAATATTTTTTGGTGCATAGAAACTTTTGAAGAAAAAAAAAGAATGAATTGAACTAAAACAAACTCTCTCTTGTCTTCATGTAGCCTGCTGGGCGGCCTCACTTCCAGGTGAGTACGGTTTATTTACAGTCATATCAAACGCATGCAGCCAGGGATCATGCATCACCTGTATTGTTCTGATTGGTTGGTTTTCTCTGCAGTGATGTCACAGTGGAGCTGCCGTTGCAGCTCATGCACCCCAAACCTGAAGGTATTTTTTTTAATAACTCACAGAGACTAACATTATCCTGCTGATACCAGTGCATCTACTGACTTTTCTTTTTTCATCTTCTCATCCTATTTTCTTTCTCTCACATCAACCTGCCTTCCAAACTGAGCAGAGTAAAGGTTGAACATCAGCGTAAGTACCAGATCTCTTTACCATATGTTTTGGTGATATCACCTAGAAATCGTATTGTTGAGAAGTTGCTAAGCAAGGAGAACAATTTAGGTGACATTTTGACATTTGTTTCAGGAATTATTGTATTAAATGGTTCTTTTCATGTTTTTTTCTATTACAGTGTCTTGAAAGAAATCTCCCCATAGTCAAGGTGAGGTTCATCGACAGTAGACTTCAGTTTAAGTGGATATATACACAACCCTGAAGATATATTTGTCCCTGCTTTGTTTTCTGTGTGTGCACGTGTGTTTATACATGGTTATACATTAGGATCCGTCTTTATGACCGCTTGTTATCTGTCAAACTATCACGATAAAAAGTAACAATTATAGTTAAACTCCCAAGGCATTCAAAATGAATGATTGAGGATTATTTTGTATTATTTAAAAAGTAATTTTCCTATTATGGTAGGCAACAATAAATGCAGTTCAGTGACCATCCATATGGTAATGGTAATGCGTAGTGTTGTATGTGATGGGAAGTGTTATAATATTGAAACAATCTCAGGTATTGATTGTTGTGTGTCCACACATGTGTGTGTGTGTTTTGAACTTCCCTTTGTGTTTTCTTCTTCCTAGAGAGGATGTTACGCTGGAGGTTGAGAAGAAACCCATAGAAAGACAGGAAGACAACGAGGGGAAGTGAAACAAAACAAAGAAGAAGAAAGATGTGACTGGTGAAATAAACCCAAACAACAATAACCAAGCAACTGGAGAGAATGAGCTTTTTGACACACCAAACGTACAGATGTAACAGTCCCCTCACAGATTCTGTTGTTCTTGTTTAATTATTATCAATTAGCTGTAGAAGATGTATTCTGTAAAATAGTATCCAACATTTAGAGACCAAATAGAACCACACATACAAAATTAAAATCCTTTTCAATTACTTCAGAGTATGAGTGGCGTAAAATGGGAACTCAGTTTGAAGCCTGAACAAGCCACTGTGCTTTGGACTACAGTGGTCACCTGTTATTTTGAATGGCACTTTTATCTTTCCGTAAAATGTATCAGATTACCCATAATACAATAAAATTATTGTAAAAACTGAATTGTTGTGGTGTAAGTTTTGTTTATGTTTCTGTCTCTGCTGATTTCAGATTACAACACATCGCTGCACTCAACTGGTGTTTGTTTTATTCAGCGGGATGTCAGTGGCAACCCTGTGCTCATTCACTTGAGCCACAAAACGCACCGCATTTTGTAATTATGGTGCAATTTGTTATCATATGTTACACTTAAGTTGGTATGGGGACACAAAATAGGAAGCAAAGGCAATTTGAAGATCTTATACATAAATTATTGGGTAAAGTAATTCTCTCACAGACACACACACAATCATTTATACATAAAATTAAGCTCTTTTATTGTCTATTTGTGTAAAGGCTATTGGTACCAGGGACTTGGTGTGCTCCTGTGCCTACTGTATACTTCTATTATTATCTTATTCAGTTTCTTGCTTGGAGGGTCATGATGGATGGCATCCATCATGACCTGAAAGCCCTCAGCTATATGTGACTTCATGCGAAGGGATTGAGGATGAACTAGTGGAGGCCAAATTTTTCCAAGTCTCTCTCTGAGGAACTGAAACATTCATTCTCCTGAACCAAAGGAGACGAGCAGCGTCGAACAGGAGGTAATCAAGGAGCCTCGTCTCTCTCTCTCTGTCTCTCTCTCTCTGTCTCTCTCTCTCTCTCTCTGTCTCTCTCTCTCTCTCACACTCTCTCTCTCTCTGTCTCTCTCTCTCGCGCGCTCTCTCTCTCTCTGCTCTACCCACACAGAACAGTGGAACTGCCTTGCCTTGGGAGAAGGCTGAAGGCCAAAGTCCCCGAACCCAATCCCTTTTACCTCAACCTCTTTATTAAAGTTGTTTCATACCAACTGCCTTTGAGTCTCCTGTTTTATTGTGAATCTCGCCTCCACGTCCCCTCGGTTGCCGCACAATACAAATCACAAGCCTTAGAAATAAGGTGCACAATTTATACTGCAGTAGAAATATGATATTCAATTTTCTGAGCGTGTCCATGTGTTGGCTAATAATCAAATATTTATCAAACGCCATTAGTCCTATAAGGGCTTTTATAATATTTTAATAGAATTACTATTTCTGCTTTCATTGTGCAATTTTAAAATTCAAACATTTTAAAGTTAAAATATACAGTACTATAAAACTATTTCATAACCAATGTGTATACATCTTCTGTCATATCAGATTGGGTTCTTTAATTACAGAAATAAGAGGTATTCAAAAATGGTCCTCTATAAATTACTCATATTCAAAAACATCCATAATGAGACAAATGTGGTCATAAATGATGTTTCATTAATGAACCTAGACTTTGTTGTTGTCAGCTATATGAGCCATGAGTTTAAAGCTATTATTTTGAAATTAAAAAAGACATTTGGAAAGGAAATAATGTGGTCCAACTCCCTGAAAACCAATACAAATATATTTCATGATACGTAGTTAATTTGTTATACTTATATGCATGTGTTTGATCATACATTTATTTGTCATAATAGTAATAAAAGCTGGGATTGAAATTGGAGTCACTTCGGCTCAGACATTATAAATATTTAGTAAAGAGGCAATTAGAGGTTTTTAAATGTCCACTGTGGGAGACTCCAGGAGGGGGCGGCAGTGCGACGTTAAGGAGGCTAACTGCCGCAAACCTCAAAAAAGAAGAAGAAGAAACTCAGCAACTCTGACGTCATCACGTAGAACGTGCAGCACTGAAGCAACATGGCTCTGAATGGAGGTTTGTGAAGTTATGATCTTATAAGCGAGCGAACTTTGACATTTATCTCGTTTACCCGTGCTACTGACAAATAAGTATTTTTTTCGCGCGCGTGTAGTCATTAATTACCGTGTATAATCTCATTTTTACTAAAAGTGTTCGTCTGCACCGTATAGACTACGTTAGCCCACGTTAGCCGGGTTGGTTTGCTAGCTAGCTTATCATTTTCCAGCAGAGCACTGCGGCAATGCTAATCACGTTTTATAACAACACAACGAAACATCTAAAGGTTCTAATAAGTGCAAAAGTGTTGTGAAGTCGAGTTAATACATTTGACAAAGGGCTAACAGACAGACAACATATACACACACGCTACAGAAGTGCAAAGTGTGTTATTACAGCAAAAAGCTCTGAATTTTGTGAGTACAGTTGAATAAAATCAACACTTTGTCACTGACCCCAGATGACAAGGACTTCGAGTGGGAGCCTCCAACAGAGGCAGAGATGAAGGTGATCCAGACTCGCAGGGAGCGACAAGACAAAATCAGCAAGCTGATGGGAGACTACCTGCTCAAAGGATACAGGATGCTGGGAGAGTGCTGTGATGTGTGCGGGGTGAGTCAAGTGGACCTTTTATGCTGCGTGTGTGATTTTAGCCTCAATAATGTAGAAAAGATGGAGTCGTTCTATCACGAGTGTTGAAATACGTTTGGTTTGTGTCTCCAGACGATTCTTCTCCAGGACAAACAGCACAAAAACTACTGTGTCTCATGTCAGGAGCTGGACTCTGATGTTGACAAGGACAACCCTGGTACACACACACACACACACACACACACATGAGTATTAAATAAACCTGCTGTCTCCTTCCTGTCATGGCTGCTCTTCTTGCTTTGTGCCTGTTTGTAAATACCATTTATGCTTTTTCCCATCTTTCCCCTTCTCCCTCTTCTCCGCTCCCCTCAGCTCTGAATGCACAGGCAGCGTTGTCCCAGGTGAGAGAGAGACAGCTCGCGGCCCAGTCCGCTGCACCGTCCCAGGCCCCAGAACTCAATGGAGGCCCCAGCAGCACCAGTAGTCAGGCAAGTGTGTCCGTTCCTCTGCCCAGACCGGAGCACTGTGAGGGGGCTGCAGCAGGGGGAAGAGCTCTCCTGCCTCCGCCTGCTGTCCCTTCTCCTTCAACCCCTGCACCCACCCCTGCCCTGGCGCCTCCTCGCCCCCCAGTAAGTCCACCCACCCCTGCCATCTCACCTATGTTGCTAGAAGCTGAGGAGGCTGTTCTCGTCAAACTTCGGTGGGCCACTAACCAGCTACAGAGTTCGGCCTCCCTGGAATCGAGTATCCAGCTCTGCAGCCTGATCACCAGCTGTGCCAACTCGCTGCGCAGCCTCAAGGAGCTCAGCCAGTAGCCGCCACGGTTGAAACCCTGGAGTGCTGTTTCTTCTTGCCTCTGTTCTGGAATACTGACTCTGGTTCGCTGCCTCGCGGCATCTCCCTTTGACTGACTCCCTGCATAGAACTGAATTTGAAATTGGTCAGCAAATGCACTTGAAATAAGATTAAAATGTCATAAGTTCACAAGTTGCTCTTGAGTTAGCATACCCTACATGGCCGGCAGAAATATCATGTTACATTGTTTCCTTAAATGTTTAAGTATACCTGTTTGAACATTTGACTGTTTTTGTCAATATGTAAGTTATGATGTAGTGACAAGAACGGAACATGTCTAAATGCACATTCGTCATTGGTATGAATTTAAAACCGTCTGGCCATTAAAACATTTTAAAATAAGACTTAATCTATTATCTACAGGAAAAGACTGCAAATGTAATTCTACAGTTGACTTTGATTAATCCTAAAAAGGCCACCACATTGATATCAGGGTAAATGATGAGATGTTCAGTCGGGTGAACAAAGGGTGTTGGTTTGCAAATTCAAACAAAAGCTCTGTTGTATCTCAGCATAGACGCTGTTGCGTGTGTCTGCACACGCAACAGCGTCTATGCTGAGATACAACATACTACTACACTGAGTCATCAATTAAAATGTAAAGTCTGTGAGTGTGTTGTTGAAAACACCAGTCCTCTGACACGAGATGCATTTTTCTATTTACTGTTCAGTCTGGATTCAGATGGATAACCTTGTCTCCGAGTCGCCGGTAACGCAAAGATTGTGAATGTGTGCGGGCAGTTCTGAGGTTTTTATTGTAAATATATTTGATACATGGTGGTGGTGGTGGTGGTGGTGATGGTCATGTGATGCTCGGATGAAATGGGCGACATTCAGGAGTCAAAGTCATAATTCTTCATTCATTAAAACCATCTAGAGCAAATAAACTGTGCACTGTACGTCAATAGACAGCACTTCATATTAGATCAAAAGCCAGCTTCAGTTCTAGTTTTCTAATTCTGCAGTTTGCTTCATTCCACAAGAGGGCGCCAAAATGGTAAACACAATGCCGCAAAGTTGAATTGAAAAAACGCTGTATTTAAACAAGTAGTATTTCAAGTACCAATAAACATGTACATTTCCGTTTAAACTGTGTCCCGTATATTACAGTTGTATCTTTGTTTCAACACAAGTTGCCACAATCACACAGGAAATGAAGTCATTGACACATTTATTTCATTTACCGGTCTGCTGGTAAATGGTGTTGTTTAGGACTCAGGTGTTGGACAGAATGAGTGTATTCGTTGTGTTTGTGTCTCGGCAGTAAACCAGTTCCATCAAACAATACACAGACAGACATTCTCCCTTTCCCCCAAAAAAACACTGTAGCGGGGCGTGGCGCGGCCGGGAGGAGCCGTGGGGGGGGGGGGGGGGGGGTGTCTGTGTCTGTGTCTGTGAACTCTCACACAAAGGAGAGGAAACAAAACAAAGCCAGGAACTGGAAGCGTGACATTAACTTCTAATTCAGTGCCTCTACCGCAGCGGTGCATTTGACTTGATTTGCCTTTGAAAAGCCTGTTTCCGACACATTGGACACAGCGTCTGCTGCGGGAGAGAGGAAGACAGCACCTTTGGGTGACGGTAAGACAGCATTAGACTGTGTGCGGGGTCTCTCCTGCAGAGTCAGCTGTGCGGCGTGGCGATGAACGGCAGTCGGTGCGGCGTGGCGATGAACGGCAGTCGGTGCAGCGCGGCGGACTGTCCGGTGAGCGGCGTCTTCTCGGTAGACGGGCTGCCGCCGCTGCCCAAAGGCCTGAGCGGGATCCTGAACTCCAGCGGCGGGTCGTGGCGGGACATCGAGAAGGTGCACAGCAAGAGAGCGCGCATCCAGGCCGACATCAGCCGGGGCGGTGGAGACGCGCCGCGCGGTCACGGCAAAACGGGGGGACTGGACGCCGCTCTGGCTTTGCTGCGGAAAGAGATGGTAAGGTGGTCTGCGAATATCCTGCCTTTGTCTGTGTGTGTGTGTGTGTGTGTGTGAGTGAATAGCGCACAAATTCAACCTGCGCAATTGGCCTGTTTTGCTTCACGCAAATCTGCACTTATGATTATAAATACATTTGACAAAATGATCTTAACTCAAGCTTCACTCTGGCTTTTTCCAATAAAACAAACAATACAAAGTAATGGGGATGAAGATTAAGGTTATTTTTTTCATACTATTTATGTGGTAGAAGGTGAAAATGAAAGTTCCTCATATGTGAATAATATTTGGTGGCCAGAACATATTTTGTGTTTTTCGTGTAACAGGTCGGCCTGCGTCAGCTCGACATGTCTCTGCTGTGCCAGCTGTGGTCTCTCCATGAGGCCATCCAGGAGTACAAGGGCTACTCGCTCCTGTCCGGGGCCTCGCTCGGTGCTGATAATGGATCCTCTGAGGAGGAGGATGAAGATGAAGAGGAGACAGGAATCCCCTCGCAGCCTCTGTCCTCTTCGTCATTGCCTCTGCCTCCACCCAGCAGCAACTCCAGGGACCAGTGGATCAAAGACTCCTTTCATATTCCCTGATGTAGACACACACACACACATATGCACCATGCACTGTGCTGTTTTCTCAAAGTTCATGTGTACCTTCAGGCAACACTTACACTAGTTTTTATACCAGAAATCTTCTGGCCGGTTTGTTTTTCTGGCCGTGGGCCAATCAAATGACAGCAAATTAATATCTCAGCAGAAATGAAGACCAACTAAAAGAGAAGAAAATCAAGATAGACAAGTGAGACCCGATGTTATCAGGTCTGATTCCACTTTGGATACTATACATGCCTGTTTGTGGTTTCCTGATCATTTCAGACTTTTTTAAGTCCCTGTTCTGTAAAACAAGCAGGACAATGTTTCCCATCGCACAGTATTTTCTGCCATTTAGTGTCTTGACTGAAGTGTCGTCAATCAATTATCTGTATTCCCTTTAATTCTGTGAGCATTTGAGACGGTATACACATTTTTCTGATCCAAATATAAGGAGGAATTATTTTATTCTATTATTTTATATGTCTCCCGACCCTGACGTTTCCTGTCTACAAAAGAGCTACAAAAAAAAGATTGCACGTTACTTCTTTAAAAGTATCTTGGCTGCCTATGAAATGTTTAAAAAGTTTTTGTAACCTCTGTTTTACGTTGTATGTGCTGCTTCTGTCTCGGCGAGGACACTCCTTTTATCTGGACACCTCTCTTGGTTAAATACAGCTATGTGTGTTTATTGAAATACATTTTGCTTATAGAGTAGGCTAATTTTAGGAAATGATTAAACTAAAGGCTGATTCTGGTGGGATTCTACTTGGATGATTAAAACTGTAATTAAATTCTCATAAATAATCAACTTTTTTCAGTATTATCTGTAGGTAGTGTTCAAATGAAAGCTGTGTGTTTTTTTTAAGCTCAAACCTTAAGAACTGTACAAAGCATGGGACTATGAAGTAAAGTGGCACAGTCTGTCCGGTGGAAACAGTTACATAGTCTTAATGCTTCAGAAAATGCGCCAGTAAATTACTTGTTTTGTTTCTAAATCTTAAAATAAAACTCCAGTGTACACCACAGGCATTCACAGCGTTTCTGTATTTGAATTAAAGGTAACCAGAGGATGAAATTGCTAAATATGACCAACAGGGGACACACTGTCACTCGTCAGGAGAGCTCCTTCCCTCCAGCAGGCCTCCCTCCTCTGACGGTCATGTCGAAAGCAGCAGAGTGGGGGAAACCATTTGCTGCGTGGAGAGCAGGAATGAAGGGGGAGTGATGTTTGGAGTAGACAGCCTCATGCTGTTCTCTATTTATAATCAACATATGTTGTGGTTATTGTTAGAAACGATCTGTCTCTCTGACGTTTAACTGTGGGGGTCTGTCTCTTCATCACAAAGCATGTCTTCTCACCTGTTTGTCTCTCTTCAAATTGTGTCCTCTTTCTTTCTCTGCCTCTTTTTGTCTTTTTTGTTGTCCATCTATCAGCAATTAATGTTATTATCACTCCACATAGTTGCTGCAAGTGCTGTTCATGCACTATAGTGAGTGATCATTTGAATAAATAGACACCAGGCTGGAGGTCAGTGGCTATCAGCAGGGAGCGCTGGAAAGGACTTTAACGTGTTACGCCGTTACAATACGAAGGCCTGTGTTACATGAAAAGTAGAAAATATGTGGAAGCACGGTGGTCAGGTCTGTTCAGGAGGTATGTTGAAAACAGGAAGCCGTACAAACTGTTGGTACTGAGAGCAATAATGCTCCTTCTGAATAATCGACCGACGGTGTAACATTAGAACAACTCTGAGTCATGAGAGAGTTGTTCCCGCTGCTGCTGCCCTCCACCCCAGCTGCCTCTGTCCATCCATCCATCCCTGTTCCCCCCCACCTAAAAATACACTCCTGCTCTCACTGAGGAAAATCCCTGTGCTCTGACCTAGCTTGAACACACACACACACACACACACTGACTGGCCCTCGTGGAAACTATTCCTCTGTATTTAACTGGATGAAGCACACGTTTCTTGAAAGCACTGAATGACGCAACAGAAACTCAGGAAGTGCCTTGAGTATGAGCTCAATTCTTATTTTTCTATAACAGCAATGTATTTATTGCATTTCATGCTTCAGTTAAGTGAGTTGCATGACAGCTTACAGGGTTACACACCTGCAGTAGATCTGAGTGTGCAGAGCTGATTATGTGAAATAGTCAGATAAGCCTGTTCCAGTGACACAGACAGTTCGGATCAAAGTCTACAGGTATGACTGCAGACTGTACAGACTGCAATGTTTCGCAGGTACAGTCAAGCAGCAAAGATAAAGACCCTTTTTGCATAATGCTGCATCACCACACAGTCTTTGCATATCCTGTCTGTCTCTCTCTGTCTCTCTCCCTCTGCTGTCACTGAAGGTAGGAGGAGGAGGGCTTGACTAAGCGTGGCTCCGTGTGGATTATTGCCAGAAAGAGAGAGAGAGTTGTCAATGAGAGCCGCTGCAGTTGTTGGGTTGAAACGTTAGCTTCATATCAGGCGTTTTGCCGGCTGTTTGAATGACAGTGAGCGGGGCGGAATCGGTTCCTCTTGGCTTCTGGCTTAATTGCCAGTTCTGTCGTCTCTTTCTGTTCACTACACCGCGACATTTATGAGCGTGACTCCACTTATTGCCAATGAGCGCAAGTCGCAGTTTGTGTGAAGCCTATTATCATCAGCAACAGTAGCAGCAGCAGAAGAGGAAGAAGAGGAGGAAGAAGAAGAAGAAGAAGAAGAAGAGGTCATTTTAAGGAACTTTGATTATTGTTGCGCGGAGGAGCGCGAGGCTTTCTTTCTTTTTCCTGTGTGTTAAGTTGTACATTTTACCAGAGGAAGTTATGACTTCGGTATGGAAAAGACTGCAGCGCGTTGGTAAAAAAGCTTCAAAGTTTCAGTTTGTCGCCTCTTACCAGGAACTCGTGTTGGAGTGCACAAAGAAATGGTGAGTCTGGATCTTTACAATTACTTTGAGAGTTTTTCTGCCATGACCCATGTGAACGTTTCTTCCTGTTTGACATCTAAATAACTCCCCTAACAGGTTTAGTATGTTAGCTGTAATAAGCCTCTGTTATGAAAATGATCATGGGCGTACCTCTGTGCATGTAGCCTCCATGAGATAAGCGGTTCCACGGTGATAGTGGGTTCGATTCCCGACCGCGCCTATTGACAAGGTTTGTGTTAACCTTTAGACAGTTATCAGGACACAGCCCATTCTAAAGCATCATTGTTCTCTAAAGACTAATGATTTAATATTACAATAAGTATTTGTGCAGAGACATTATCTATCATATAACCATTATGACAATGAATAACAGTCTGTATTTGTTACCTGCTAATGTTTTACTATCACTGTCACTCCCTATTTATTTTGAATATGTATACAAATTCAGGCAACAAAGGCCAAGTGTCTGTGTACATTGTGAGCAAGATTTGGTTTTACATTCAACATCAACATTCAATCATGTACCGTTGTAATTAAGCACAATCAGTATAGTCTCACTCTTATTTCATTTCAAAGCTCCAATCCAATCACTCTGTAGTGCTAAGCTCTGTAGGGCTTCCCCCTCTTGTGCAATTTCCTGTTGTACAAAACATTTGGGAAGTGGCCAGGTGATGCAGCATGAGGCATTATTCTGCTCTGACACGCACTGACACAGCATCGGAGAGAAAACATACTAATATACTGTCAACAATTGGCAGTAAAGGGTGCTGCTGTCGGGTCACGTTGAAAAGCGGAAACTGGAAAATAATATCACCACCTTTTCCTGGAGCCACCTTCGTATCTGTCCAGATTCCTCTGAAGTATGGACTAATTGTGTAAGCGGCTTGTTGTCAGCACGATAACAAACCGTTTTGTTTTTTAAAATCCTGCATTGATTGAAGGCTCTTAGTCAATAAAGTGTCAGAGTTTGATCAGCGGCAGAGAGCCGTTATGTGTGCAAACAGAAGGGAAGGGATAGAGTGATTTAGAAAGAGTGACAACTCCCACACATGATGAAATCAGAGTTGATAAGCCGTTACCATGTTAGTAACAACAGAGGGAAGGAGAAGAGAGGACAGGTGGAAGACTGGAGATTAATCCAAAATCCTATTCGGCATAAAGTTGTTTTTTAAAAGGAAACCAACCTAAAGTTCTTGTAATTAAATCTAGTGGTCAGAGTTACTGATACTTAAAGATCACCTCAAACGTCAGAGGCGGGAAATGAATCTTTGGTCACAAAGAGGGTGGAAAGTGTCTCACAAGCCACATGTTTGTGTGTGTGTGTGTGTGTGTGTTTGGGGGGGTTGTTCTAATTTAGTGCTATGATTTGAAACCATTGGCTTTCTTAGAAACTGTCGCCCCTATATACACTTGTTACTGTGATGCATTTAAAGTTACCACAAAGAACTTTAATTTTATGTCAATTGTGGCAGTCCCTGTGGCTGAAAGCAGTAGTGTTTCCGAGCATCACAATCCCTTTAGATAACCTCTCCTTTTACTGAAACAGGGTCATACAGTGTGACCCATGCAGTCTTGGTTCTGGTTCTCCCGTGCCTCCGTTCCCTCCAGCAGGCCCAACAATACAGCCTGGGTCTCAGCAGTGTGGTGTTTTCACTGCTCCGCCTTGTGACTGCAGGTCAAAGGTGGCAGCAAAGCCGGATCTGGGTCGGTCAGCCAGCGGGCTGGAAAGAGTCAATCTTTTCACTGATGGTCTCGTTTACTAGGTCAAATAGAGGGATCTGTATTAACTTGAGACTGTTTCATAACCAGTTAAAGATTTCTCACAGTAACTTTAAATAATTCCAGTTTGTTCCATTGACTCATTTTTTAAAGTTGACTTTATATCATAACATGTTATGTTTTTATTTCAGTTTATAAATCATTATATTGTGCTTAAGTATACCAAATAAATAATTCTTAACGATTCCCCAAAGTGTAACGATTTGATGTTAGATGTTTAAAAAAAGTATTGTTAACATCTTAATTAATTCGTCATGGCTGTGTGCATTCAGCTCTGGAATAACGAAGTACAAGTTTCGCTCTTTTGAGAACTCTGAACATTAAAAAGTTTTAAAATTGAAATGTTATGTAATTATAGTCATGAGTGTTCGGCATACAACTAAATATATTGTTTAAGTTGTGTCAGACGTGTGTGTTACTGTTGTGTTAATGCAACTTAAAAGGTCGGTTTCCCCAAATTAACAGAGTAGCCACAACAGAGTTTGAGTTAATAAACTTAAATGGTTTAAGGCTGTCGGTTCCCTCAAACAGTTTGAATTAAAGAAATTAATTCAGTTTTAAACAGAGCTTTACACATCAGTGACTTTCAGCTCATTGTTTAGCTGTCCACAACTTTACAGTTATGGTTCACTCTTACAGCTGTCATAGTGTAAAAGGAGAGAGTGACCATCGGGAGCAGTGAGCACCTATAGGTGTATACAGAGCCAGATATTTACCTCAGGGGTTTTTAAAGACCAAAAACAGAGCTAAAAGAGAGAATATTGAATTACATTCATCAGGTTGCCACAAACAACTTTAAATGTATTATAGTGTTGCTCTGTAGCTGTCGGATGTGTACGTAGGTCAATCAAATTAGTCCTCATTCAGCTCGACCTAATGTTACATGCGGTGCATTCAGAATATTCGTTGACAGGCCCAGTAAATATGCAAGTAGTGCGCCACATCAACTTTAATTTCTATAATATTCTCAATGTTGTCTTCACAATCTTGTTTCTACTGCCTCTAAGCGGAAAGAACAATTACACGATACCATGACTGGAAGGACAAGATAATTCACCATTACAAGCTCTATTGGATAGAGGAATTGAAAACACAGAGGGGCCAAAGATAAGCAGGCCTGGACGTTTGTACATGACAATATGATGTTGACAGAGACAGTCTATAGATATAATTAAAGACTTAGCAACAGGCTATTTTTACAGTAACACAAGGAGTGCTTTATGTGACCAAAACATGAGATGGGCTTAGTGAGTAAGTTGATTTATTTTACTGTCTGTAAATGTGTATGTGTTCTGTTTTTACAGTGATATCGCAAACACAATCACAAACACCGCGTGCTGTTTAAAACCAAACATTTCTACATGGATGTGGGTAATGTGTGTCCCTCCTCTAGTCAGCTGTGGACTAAACCATTGTCTGCTGAATGACAAAACACCAACCACAATTACAGTAATTACATGTTACACAACTGCATTACACCCCCATGTTCGCCCGTGTAAAACCCATAGTTCCTAAGCTCACTGGTTCAGAAGATGTTTTTGTGTCTTTGTGTTTCGGATCATACGTTATAGTCTCCTGTTGGTGCTGTTCCTTCTTTCTCCCCTCCGTCATCCCCGCTGTGCCGGTCAGGCTATTTCTAATGCCACTCCTGACCCCCTAACACACATACTGTACCACATAAACACTTACACACACGTGTCCTCTTTATACTTGAGCACTGATACACTGCAACTTGAGACAATATTTATCGATTCTATGAACTAACATTCTAAAGAGCATATGTAGGTGTTGTAACAGAGTTGTAAAGATAACATATTTAAAGTTGGCTCTGAGATTTGAAAGGTATTAGGAATTATTATTATGTGCTGGTAATATTTAGTGTGTGTGTGTGTGTGTGTGTGTTCTCTTCCTACTTCCTGTCAAGATGCACGCCTCACATTCACATACTCTGACTCAGATCACATGACTGCAGTTTCACTTCCTGTGCCACAGAGGACTGAGAAAATACAATGGAAAGTGTTTCAAACACGCATATACAAAATGATAGGCACACACACACACACACACACATATTATACATTGTGTAGCCGAACATACAGATAAACAGCTGCATGAAATACACACATATGCTGTACACACATTCACAATTTTACCAATGAGCTCACAGCACTCTGCATAAACACTCATATCAGTGCCTTGTCTTTGACTGGAAGGAATGATCCTCCAGTGATTCACAAGACTTTCTATTACAACTTGTGTTCTCTTTTTTGTATAAAATCCACTTAGTTTGGAGACATGATTTAATGAAGTTCGAACATCTTTTCACCGAGGCTTTTTGTAAAGTTACTAATGTTGATCAAATGGTTGTTTTGGCTGTTTCCTTTTTGGAGAAGAGCAGATTAATATCAAGTAACAACATGAGGCAAGACGTCATTTCTGTGTGTTGATGTGTTTTTTGTTTTGTTTCTGTAGGCAACCAGACAAGCTGAGGGTGGTGTGGACCAGGAGGAACAGACGCATGTGCTCCAAGGTGAAACCACTAAACCACCACAAACATACACACACAGAGGCGCACACACAGTCTCCAGAGGTGGAAAGTAACATTCAGAGGGAAATAATGTACGTTTAACTCCACTGCTTTTATTTTAAAGCTTTAGTTACCACTTACTTTGCAGATTCAGAGTATTAAAAAGAAAATTATAAATTAAACTACCTGGTAGTATGTAAAGTTTGAAATGAGCTCCACCTTGCAGGTGCAACATTAAACGGATGTACACGTTGATTCGTCAATTATAAAATATATATTATTCCGAAATTAGACAGAAGTTGTTTTGCATAATGAGTAGTGTTACTTTTAGTACTTTAAATGTTTTGATGCCCATACTTTTACTCAAATTACATTTTGAATGCAGGATCTTTACTTGTAACAGAGTATTTATACACTAAGCGTTGCTATTTCTACTAAAGTAACAGTTCGGAGTACTTCTTCCATGACTGACAGTCTCACCAGTGTTGTTTGTTGTGCAGCTCCACAGTTGGCAGCCTGGAATCAAAAACCCCTACAGGGGCATGGTGGTGTGGCCTGTCCCAGAGAACATCGACATCTCTGTTACACTCTTCAAGGTACCAAAACAACAGAATACACTGTTTACTCCACACACACACAGACGGGAGCAATTAGAGGGAAAAATGGAGAGTGACGAAATATAACCAATGCAGATGCTTCTATAAAGAGCACGAGGGGTCAAGAGTTCAGAGTATTTTTTAATCCCAAAAGCAAATTGCAGCGAAGCCAAGTCACACATCAATCACACAACAAAAATAATATAAACAGAAACTTATATTATGCTGTATATCGTCTTGTATTAATATGGCAAGATGCTTCATTTGAATTGCATAGATGAGTATTGGAAATAACATAATAATAATAATAATAATAATAATATACACTGAATATGTACATATACACACAGTTATACAGTTAAAACAGAAATAGGAATGTATGTAGAAGAATGTAGTATACATGAATGTATACGGTTAACATGGTTAACATTTAAGTTAGATATTGGATAAAAATAGTAAAAATAAACACAAATTCACAGTTGTATAATAATAATAATATGTGTGTCACATTTACACCTGTTATATCATAACATAATCTGTTATACAACCAGAAAAATAAATTCATGTATTCATTAAATGGCAACATTTACAAAAGTGTTTGTGCAATGGTCGGACTTCAAATTGTATTGTTGTTCTCACCTCTTCAGGAGGTCAATGCTGATGAATTTGAGGACAAAGAGTGGACCTTCGTAATTGAGGGTGTAAGTATCTCTTGACTACTCCACTTCTGCTTATGATTCTTTAAATTGATACGATTCAAAATCCTTTACGGATCATGGCTGTTTTTGTTGGCCATGTAAAGGAGACCAAGGGACATCGTAAGGTGCTGGCATCAGCAGACATCAACCTGAAGCGGTTTGCCAGTCTGACGCCGACCCAGACCGACCTGACGCTGAAGCTGAAGCCGCTGTCTGTCAAAGTGGTGGAGGCCACGTTCAAGCTGTCGCTGTCATGCGTCTTCGTTCGTGAGGGGAAAGCCACGTGAGTAGTAGTTTTATCTCAGAGAGTAGTGCTTCAACAATACGTACTTGAAAATGGACACCGATTACAAAAACAAGGAAGAGTTTTTATGTGTCGTATATATTATACTTGTTGTAAATAATAAAATTCCACTTTGGAGGTTGAGAAATGAAGCCTCAACCACATTTAATATACTGACTGGTTTATTTATCGAAGGGATTTCTTTCCTCACTAAGTAATGACTATGTGATAAATGTTTGCTCTCATGTTCTTGCTCCTCAGTGATGAAGACATGCAGAGTCTGGCCAGCCTGATGAGCGTCAAACCCACAGATATCGGCAACATGGACGACTTCAATGAGAGCGATGAAGATGAGGACAAGAAGTCTGTCACTGCTACAGGTGGGCAGACTTACACAACCACTGCTTCTTCTCGCTGATCTTCACTGTGAGCGTTTTCTTCTGGCATTTCCTCCTCCTCTGCCTTCTTTTTCCTCCTGTCACTTCTTTTGCTCTGTTCTGGTAGCTGCAGTTGTTCCACACACTCTAACTCGCCCAAATCGCCCTGCTCCCCCTCCACCTGACAAGCGAGACTCCACTGGACCCACTTATGCAGCCTCAGGTAGCTTCCTCTTGCCCTTTCTTTCACCTGCTCCTGCTGTTTGTTTCTGTTGCCAGGAGGAGGAGGTGTGAACAGGCACTCTCTCTCTCCATCTGTCTGTTATTGGGAGGCTCAGTTTATATAACAATAATTCACACACTCGTGCCATTTGCTCTGCATACCACATATTTCTCATCTAGACATTGAGAATCATGTGATGACCAATGCCACAGATGTTTGTTTGGAAGTGTAAAAAGCAACATGGCATTCAAAGGTGAATGTGTCTAGTTGCATGGCTTTAAGGCGTACGTTGTTATCCGAATAGGCACCAGTGGTGGAAAAAGTATGTACATAATTTACTTAAGTAGAAGTAGTAATACAAAACAATGAAAAATACTAGTGAAACTGCTGCGTTCATTAGAAATCCTACTTCAGTAAAAGTACAGCAGTATTTAATTACCAAATAAAATGAAAGTACCAACAATACTCATTATGCAGAGTGTCCCCTTTCAGGCCCCTTGTTAAATATATGATATGATAATTATCACTTATGTATTAATATGTGAGAAGCATTTTTGTTGTCGTTGGTCGAGGTGATTTTTAATTGTTAATATAAAATGTGGTCAGTTTAATCTGCAAAAAAACTCCACTCTTATAAAGATATTTCTAAATGCAAAAAAATAAAATGATAATACTAATTATTATTTTAAAAAGCCGGTTGCTGCACTACAATGATTCAAATTGAGTTTAGAATATTGTGAAATGAGTTCACTTGCATTAAAAGAGATGATCTTCCATTTTCTATGAGAAAGGAAAATGAAATAAGATGTGTTATAGTTACTGGTTATGTAACCAGTAACTATAACGGTCAGATAAATGAAGTGAAGTAAAAAGTACAATATTTCCCTCTGAGATTTGGTGGAGTAAAAGTATAAAGTAGTAGAAAATGGAAATACTCAAGTAAAGTACCTCAAAACTGCACTGAAGTACAGTACTTAAGTAAATGTACTAAGTTAATTTCTACCACTGATGTGCTCACCTTTAGTCAAATCATCAACTGTCATTGACTCCCAGTTAGTTTCATTTTCATTCTCAATTCATAACCTTTTCCTTCCTGTCTTTTTCATAATTTCTCTTTCTGCAAAAATCTACTTTCCCTGATCCATCCATCCATCCATCCATCCATCCATCCATCTACTCATCCAGCCTGTGGGCGTGATGGCGGTCCTCCCAGTCCTGCTGTCCACTCCCGCCCTCCTCTACCTATTGCTCCTCGCCCATCGCCCCGTCGCAGCCGACACCCCTTCACCACCACCCCTGTTCAGTCAGAGATCCAACCTTCCCCCGGCCCCTCCCCTCAGCCCTCACCCAGATCCAAGCATAAAAAAAAATCAAACCCTCTTCTCCTTGAGGCTCTTGTTTCTTCTGACCCACTACCTAATCCTCCAAACTCACAGCTCACAGCGCCTACTCCCTCAATCCAAAGCGCCTCCTCTCTCCTACCTCTCTCTGATGTGTCTCCTGCAAATCCTCCATCCCCCAAATCCTCCAAAGCACCCAAAATCACACCTTCAACCAAAAACATTTCCTCTTCCATTCATCCTCCATCTCCCAAATGCTCTGGATCTGTGTCAGTGAAGCCTTCTTTAGCAGTGCCGTCTGTTCCCCTAAATTATTCTTCAAATACCCCCTCAAAACTGCCTTTTCAGCAGCCCAGCACCTGCGAAGCTGGCATTACCTCATTAACTCCCAAACTTCCCTCCCCTGCATTGTCGTCACCCATGACTTCTTCCTCCACGGTTCCCCAAATGTCTTCTTTCACTGTGTCCACTACTATGACCCATCAGACCACCTCTACTGCCTCCCATTCTCTCCCACCTAAATCCTCCCTTCCCTGTAAGCCCACCCTGTCCTCGGAGCCTCCATCCGCTCACCCTCCAATCACCCGGACCCTCTCTCAGCCTCCCTCTCTGCCCAGAATCTTCCAGTCATGCTCAGGAAAAGGTATCAATGTGGCTGGCTGGCAGACAGGCATGCTGCATGCTTTCCACTAACTGATTCCTTATGTGTGCTGGTCTGGTCTGACCTTGTCTCCCACATGATTTAGAGTCATGCCCATGTTACTTTACAAGTCAAAGGCATGCTACTTATATACAGTACGTGTGGTGTGAGGAAGATCAGTTTGTGATGATATCAGAGTTAAACATCTGAACATTTTGGCATTGCTGCAGTACCTCAGGCAAGAACAAAGGAAAATTTTGTGGCCGTTTTAGAAGTGCTAATTTGGTATCTAATTTGTTTTTTTCACCATATTTTGCCTCGGTTTTGACTCGTGTTGATTAAATCCAACTTTCTATGAATATAAACCAGTGTACTCACAAGTTCAGGATACAGGGAAAACATAACATGAAGTTTTTTATTAAGATTTGAGTCACACCATCAAGGAGGTGAATCTTGTCCAAAGGTTTGGTGCATTTCAATCCATGCTGATAGACTTCTCTACATCTTACTAGCACCTTGTTATTCCTAAACTTCTTTAACAATGCACATTAAACACCCTTGGGGATAATATCACTTGTTATAAATAATAACAATATATCTCATGTAATGTCAAATCCAAACATAACTCGTAGTGGCGTAGTCCATCAATAATTCACTATTCAAAATATACAAAACTCACAACATTCTGACACGTAAACCATAAGGAGATATGTGCAAATTACAAAACTTTTTTAAAAGCTTTTGAACATTAAGAAAATTAAATATTGAATTCAACCTTTTTAATTATATTGTTGTGTATTTATAGCATTTTGATTACTTTGAATCATTGTCGAGACTTCAGCAAACCCGTGTTTTTTGTTCCTGACAGATACAGATCTCTTCTGTGATGGTGGAATACAATTAGTAAAATACATAATATGAAATTGTTCCTCTTTCACTCTTTGCCTCTCACTAACTATGCATTGGTTTGTCTTTATTCCTCTCTTGTTCATCACTCCTCGTTCTCCCTCTCCTCTCCTCAGTTCCTATTTCACATCAACGGCGCCCCCCGGAGGATCAAACTCCTGATGATCTTACTTCAGTCTCCGGTCTGTCTCTGCTGTGACTGTCCAGAATAACAAGATGCTCCACTACTAATATTCTTTTCAAATCTTAAAAATCTTTTCTTCTCTTCTGTCCTGCTTTTAATATCTTTCATCGTCTGTCCTCTCAACTAGGCCGTGCTCACATCTTCAGACCTCAGGTTGTCAAATCAATCCCCCGCCCCTCATCTCCATCTCCCTTTTCCGCTGATGCACCTCCTCTTGAGTCCACTCCTCTCCCCAAAACTCACCCCAGTATCTTAGAGTCAGGTAACCAATGTCAATGTCATGTTTTATTTTCCTCTGACGTCTTCCCCCATCATTTCACTCTTTCCTATAAACCTGCTTCATCTAGTCTCACCTGTTTCCCTCTCCGCCTCCTCTTCCCTCCCCTTCCTCTCTGCTTTCCTCAGGTGCTCAGGGGACGTGGTTGACATCTGCTAGTGACATCAATCCTGTCCCCCTGCTGAGTAGTCCGGACCTTGATGCCCTCTGTGACCCCGCCGCTCCGGCCCTTACTGCCTCCCTTCCATTCTCCTCACCCCCTCGCTCCTCGTCTCTTTCCACCTCAGTTTTATTCTCCTCTCCTCCCTCTCAGCTCGCTGTGTCTCCTTCTGCTCCTTCCGCTCCAATCAGCTCCTGTCAGTCAGGTATATTAGCCAGCTAATCAAATAATCTCATGTCTTTATTACAGCCAAGACAAATACCTCATGTTTTTTGACGTATAGAAATGTCTCAAGCAGATTTCATCAAAGAAATAACCTCGCTTTTGCTCTTTCTAGGTTCAGCCTTCCCCCTCGCTCAAGTAGACGAGGAAACAACTGAGAGCCCTCTGCGCCGGGACAAGACTTCTCCTCAAAATAACCGGGCAGTGGCCAACATCAGAGTATCCAACCAGCCAATCAGACCAGCCCAGGATTCAAAGGTGGCCATCAAAGATGAACCAGCAAGTATCAGGTGAGGTCATGGGATGATATCACATGAGTGATTCAATTTATATTGCTTGGTTTGGATCCTGTGTTTGGCTACGAGTCGCTGTGTGAGGAGAGAATGTGTCAGCAGACCACAGAACTGAAGAGGCGCCTTGACGACTGTGGCACTCAGCACAGCTTGGGAGAAACATAGACACACAGACTCACAAAAGCAAGCACACAGAGCACATCTGTACACTTTAAGATGGGCTACCTGCTTGAAATTGCATGAATGCTTCAAAGAATAGGTTTTTACCGAATGCTCTTATTAGCTTTTTTGATGAGAACATCAATAACGTTCTCATGCCTGTCTATCAAATATGAAGCTACAACTAGGAGAAAGTTGTCATTGCATAACATAAACACTGGAAATGGGGAAAGCAGTAATACTGTCTCCATCCAAAGGTAACAAAATCTGCTGGTAGGCAAATTTTGTTACCTATTGGACAGAGCGAGACTAGCAGTTTCCCACTCTTAATGCAAAAATAAGCTAACCATATAACAAGGTAGCTTCATATTTACCGCACAGACATGTGAGTGGTATCAATCTTCTAACATGGATCTTCTAACTCTCAGCATTAAAAGGAAATAAGCTTTCCCATAATGTCAAACTATTCCTCTTAGGTGCACAGATGTACAGTTAATTCAGCGTCTCCATACTGTTGCCGATATCGATCTTTGTAGGAACTTCAGAGTGCATCATTGGGATGAACATTTTTGGGAGATGGGAGTTGGGAATGGGAGTTATTCCTCCAATCCAATCATATGTATCGATCAGCATCATGGCAAACTCATTATGGTCTAAATGATCCCAAGCTGACCCACCTTAGTGCTGACTGAGGCAAACCTGCTTCAGTGTGCGTGTGTGGTTGAATAACAGTTTTACCTTGTTTGTTGATCAAGAGATTTGTGAAACTATTGCTCAAGGCCTCATGGTTGCTTGATGCTAACATGTGCTAACAGTTGAGTGTGTACCCTGCCTCCTGTTGCACTGACCTTCCTTTACACGGCAGTGGAGTAATGATCAGGTCTGTAGTCTGCTCTGAGGCCTGCTTGTTTCCACCTGTAATCACCTCCTGCACGGTCAGCCTTGTGAATTCTCACCCACTCATCTCTCGAGCCTGACCTCCAGTATTTCTGTCCCCAGTCCTGCCCAGTCACGTTCAGAGCTGATAATAGCCCCGCCCCCTCCATGGCCCTTCTCCTGCTGCGAGAGCTCCACCCCTCAGCAGCCCTCCACCAATGTTGTGGCAGCATTTATCACTCCTAAACAGCCAAATGCTCAGGGGGAAACTGATTTGAAAACACCAACTAATGAGATGGGTGTTATTAGCGCCTTTAAGGCCGAAAAGCCGCCACTGGCAAAGCCTGAGCCAGAGCCTGACTTTGACGACATCATCTTTGAGTCGCTTGAGTCACAGCGACAAGAATCAGGGGGCTTGTTTCTGGAGGAGGATGACTCTAAGCGAGATACTATCAAAAGGTGTCCTCCGGGGTGAGTATTTATATTCACAGATAAACTCAAGGTCCAGAGCATTAAAAAACAAGTTTGCAAAATGTGAATTGATGGTGCTGATAATAAACACACACACACACACACAAACACACACACACACACACACACACACACACAGATTGAGGATTAAGTAATATTGTTTATCTGTTCTGCAGTCTGCAGAAAAACAATGAAAAGGTGGGTGGAGAAAATCCATCACTGACGGAGCAGTTAGAGGGAGCAGCGATGAAGAAGGAGGTGATGATCAAGGCAGAGCAGGAGAAGCAGAGGGAGAAACAACAAGAGGAGGAAAGGAGGAGGAAAGAGGAAGAGCAAAGAGCAATGCTCCAGAAGCAGGAAGAGAGCAGAAAACATGAGGATGAGAAGAAGACACTGTTAGAGGAGGAGAAGAAGAGGCTCTTACAGGAGGAGGAGGTCAAGAAAGAGAAGGAAAGGAAGAAACCTGAGAAGGAGAGACTTCTGAAGGAGAGAAGAGAAAGACAGGAGAAGCTGAGAGAAGAGGAGGAGAAGAGGAAGCGGAATGAAGAGGAGAGAATAAAAAGAGAGCAGCAGAGGAGACTGCTAGAGGTGGAGGAGAAAAAGGACAAATGTAGGAGGGAGGAAGAGAGGAGACTTGAGAGAGACAGATTCTTGAGGAAAATGAAAGAGGAGGAGCAAAAAGGGAAGGAGGAGGTGAGAGTGTTTGAGGAGCAAAGGAGAAAGAGGGAGGAAGAGAAAAATAGGCTCCTTGAAGTGGTTGAGCAGAAGAAGATGGAGGATAAATGCTTGAAGGAGGAAAAAGAGATGGAGCAACAGAAAATGAAAGAGGAGGAAGAGCAAAGAAAGAGGGAGGAGACAGAGAGAAAGAAAAATGAGACAGAGGAGAGGATGCAGAGGGAGGAGGAGCAGAGAAGGAATGAGGAAGAGAGAAAGAAAAGGGAGGAAGAAGTGGAGAGGAAGAGGATGGAGGAGGAGGAGAAGAGGATCAAAGAAGCAGAGGAGGGGAGAAAGAGGGAAGAAAAGGAAAGAGTACTCGAAGAGGAAAAGGAGAGGGACGAGGAAAGATGGAGAGAGGAGAAAGAGAAGGAGAGACTCATAAAAAAGGAGAAGGAAAGGATGGAGAGGAGGAAAAAAGCAGAGGAGAAAAGGCATGAAGAGGAGGAGGAGAGGAGGAAAGAGACACTCTTGAAGGAGCAGAAAGAAAAGGAGAGACGACTGCAAGAGGAGCAAATGAGGCAGGAGGCAGAGAAGAAGAAAAAGGAGAACGAGGAAAAGAAAAAGAGGGACGAGGAGGAGAAGAGACATTTAGAGGAGAAAGAGAAAGCAGAACGACAATTGAAGGAGGAAGAAGAAAGGAAAAAGAAAGAGGATGAACAGAAGAAGAAGCTTCTGCAAGAGAAGGAAGAGATGGAAAGACGAAAGAAAGAGGAGGAAAACCAGAGGAGCGAGGAGGAACGAGCTGCTCCGATCTGCAGTCTGGAGGCCAACAAGTCAGATGAGGATAAGCAAAAGATGAAAACTTTAGTTTCTCCTTCTTCTTTGCCAGTTCCTCAGCTAAGCAAACACCTCCCTCCTCTGTACAAAACCAGCGTGACATCCGAGCAGCTGCCCTCACAAATTCTCAGCCAATCACAAAACAGAAAGATGACCCTTCAAACAGTTGATAAACCAAGCTCTGCCACCAACGAGCGGTGAGTCACGCCACTGAAATAAAAAGTAATTATTTCACTGTAGGTGTTACATAACTCAAATGGCTGTCATCTGCTTTCTTAATCTGCAAATAAAATCAATTTACCAAAAAGTCACTTTAAATTCACTTTCTACTGATTGAAACATCAGACTTTGTTCTGCAACTCTGTCCTAAAGTGGTATCAAGTTGGGCTGAATCCTTATTTCTCTGTTCTTCTGTGATGATTCTTTTTTGATTCTCTTCTCATGTAAGATTTCTTTGATTGATCTATGTTGTAGGGGGAGGGGCAGATCAATCCCCAAAGTATTGATGCCACCGATACTAAGTCTTGTCTTAAATATCGACACTACTAGATCGTGCTTACGAGCACTCTTTGATTCTCTGCTGCTGTTTTGTGTGCACGTGTGATTTTAAGAAAATTCACACAATAAAAATGCATTGTTTACCATTGAAATCTGTCTTGCATTTTAACATGCAGATGTATTCACAAGTAACCATTGATGCATTTACCTCATTAATAATGACATATTTTCCAGCTGCTTCTAATAATTATGAAGTATTTATCAGTGGTCATGGCCGTGGTATTACTTGGTATCAAATTTTGTGGCATAACCCACCCCTACTATTCGTTTTTTGTGTTGTCGTTGTTGTGTGGCTTTCCTCCTCTCCCTTTCCTATTTCTGCTGAATTCTTTTTGAAATTCTTCAACCTGCCCCCCTTATACTTATTTTTCCCTCTTTTCTCTCCTTATTCCAGTCTTGAGCAACCCTCTCTGTTAAAGGAAGGTTCATTGGCAAACATTGTTATCCCAGAAAACAAAATATCGGCCACATATTCTCCACATAGCACCTGTTCAGGCCCCAATGTTCAGGATAAACCATTCACATTAGAGGTCTTAAGCCTGGTGCCACCTCCACAGAGACTGTCAGATGAAGAGGTTCCTCTATGGAAAGCGCTAGAAGGGAGAAGTGGGAAAGATACATCTGAAAAGATCTCTGCAATGGAGGGTGCAAAACCTTTGTGCAGAGGGTAAGAATGGATGAGGGGATGTCTGTCTGCTTTGTCTTTCTTTCTGTGTATCTGCGTGTCTGTCTGCTTTGCTGTTCTGGCTTCTCAATGATGTAGTAGGTATGAAAATGTAAAACTAAGACCCCTTCATGCTTTTATCCCTTTCTTCTAGCTCACAAAGAGAAGATGCTGCTGAGGTGGACACCCCTGTCAGGCAGGAGCCCCAACCAATAACAGTAAAAGACTCAGAAAACCATCACATATTCCCATCTCCTGCTGAACCCGGCGCTCCACCAGTTAAAGAGGAGCCCAAAGAGCCAGAGGGACCCAGCGTTGAACCAGAAACCTCACCCGAGGTTTCCCCAAAACCGACCCTCGAGGGAACGGCTTTGGCACTAGAGCCGCTGCTTCCCGCAAAACCAGAACCAGGACTGTGGTCGGAACAAGTTCTTCAGCCATCAGGAAAACCACAACAGGAGGGAGCAGATGAGGAGAAACCAGCCGAGGCCTTGACTGGTGGTCGGGAGAGTTTCACCAACAATAAGGAGCCAGTGTGCGAGGCAGAAAAGCAGCTGTGGGCGACAGTAGAGGAGACCACAGCGGAGACAGGAGCGGAAAGACGGATGGAAAGTAGTGAGAGCACCGAAGAGAAGGATGAGGAGGGTGGTGTAACAGGGGGGTGAGTCAGTGGCGGTTCCTTTGCAGCATGGCATATGTCTGCTTTTGCTTGCAAACCACTACAAACACACACTCTCACACACACACAGACATTTTCTAAATGTTTCAAAAAGCAGGTGCAGTAAAAACACATGCATTATAACTTAAAATACAAATACAACTTCAAAAGAGGGATAATATTTTACACTATTGACTGAGGTAGTATAATAATTAAGAGCTAAGACTTCAAAACTATAATTATGTTTTCAACAAATAATCATATCAGAGGTTATAAAAGTGTTTTAAAGTTAAATGCACGCCTTTTCTAAGCAGTATGTTTACACAATTTAGCCTATTTTTCATACAAGTTATTAATCAATTTAAAGAGACATTTTATTACATTTTGATGACTTATTACTTTATCTCTATGGGAGTAATGCTGGTATGGGATGGCTATACATTTGCCATAACACACATATTGTATATGAGTGCTTAATGCTCTGGAAAACCAGAAACAGTTTGGTGTTTAGTAACTGCTCTTCTGAGAAAAACTGTACTCAAAAGCCACCACTTACAACGATACACCATGCTGTTGGTCCAAGTGGTTGATCAACCATTGTTTTGTTTCTTGGTTATAATCCATTCAGTGAGCTGTCGAACACAATGTGCTCATCTTTTCAGTGTGTAGTAGAGAATTTGTCTTGTGCATATACGTATATGGGCTAGTTGTGTAATCTTTCTCTGAGCTGCATGGCACTAGAAAGCGTTTTCATGTCTTCTGGTCACGTTTTCTTAATCATGCCCGAGGGCTTTAGTGTTGTGCACTCAGTAGAAATAAAGTGTGGGGTGGTTCTCAACAATACATGTTTCCTCCATATGTTTTGGACAAGCACCAAAACAAAGTCTGAGAAAACGGAACTACTTAATCAAGCATGCTGACTGGCTTTCCGTCCAGCTGTTCAGAACATGAGGTCATTTTAGGGTGAGAACTGTCTCAGAGATTTCCTATCCCTCGTCTCTGTCCCTTTAGCTATGAGACAGTGACCTCCATCCTGCAGACTGCTGGACCCACTGATGCAAGTCATGCCCACCACTCTGCAGGCCAACCATGCATCCCTATAAGTAATGAAGATCAGCCACCTTTACATGGAGGAGACGCACAGATTCTGCACTCCGCTGAGCCAGATGACGACCCACTGATTCCCATTGGTGTCGACATTTCTCCGCCCACAGCCTTCTCTGACACAACAGAAAACCAGACCATTAGTAAACAGACTGGATCGACACAGAAACTTTCACACGGGCTAAGTCTGGTGGCAAGTCTGAGACTGGCAGCTAGTGAGCAGGAGAAGGAGAGAGAGCAGGAGAGGGAGAGAAGGGAGAAGGAGAGGGTAGAAAACGTGAAGAGGGAGGAGAGAGAAGAGGCAGAGAGGTTGGAAAAGGAGAGAGAAAAGATGGAGAGGTTGGAAAAGGAGAGAGAAGAGATGGAGAGGGAAAGGGAGGAGGAGACAAAGAGGCTGGAAAAAGAGAAGGAAGCGCTGGAGAACAATCAAAGGGAAGAGAGGGAAAGGTCAGATAAAGACAGGAAGCAGCACATTGAGGATGAAAATAAGAAGAGAAAGAGAGAGATGGAAAGGGAAAACAAGAGAAAGGGAGAGGAGGATGGTGTGAGGCGAAGGGAAGAGGATAGCAAAGGAGAGAAACCACAACAGAAACAGATCAATTCTGTCTCTACGTCACTGCAGGAAGTCATGAATGACCAATCAAAAAACTGGCCTCCTCTGAGGGAACTGGAGATGGATGATCTTGCGTATGATGAGAGGTTACAGGTTGATGAAGAGCAGCCAGAAAACAAGTCGGATCCCAAATTAGTGACAACAAATACTGTCCAACTGGTTTCAACCGGACCTGCTGATTCTGTCCCTGTACCCAGACCAACAAGCAAAGTTGACTCCCAATCAGTTAAACCCGAGGACTCTGTAACTGCTGTTAAGAAAGCCCTGGATAATACTGTTCTGAGATCAGTTAAAAAGGGCAAATCCAACCTGAAATCTGGCGCCATCCCAGTGTGGTTGAGAGAGGAGGAGGACGAAGAGGTGGAGTATGAGAGAGGACAGGAAGATCTTGGCTCCATCTGGCTGGCTGAGCTGTACATGGAAAGGGAAGCAGGGTGAGTAAGGGTGGGTGAGAGAGACAGATAGCTGCAGGGAGAGAGCGATGAGTAACCAGGATAGAGTTGTCTATGCGAAAGAGAGCTGCTTGTTGCATCTTGTGGATCAGACAACTCTGCCTGTACGTTTGTGGTGTATGCCTCCTCTAATAATCAAGGCTGTCACTCGCTATATCTGCAGGGAAATAATAATTACTAAGCACTACTTCCCTTCATCTACTCAGGGTTTGGCCTTTTCTTTTTACAAGAAAGTTGTGTGTTGGCATGTTGATGTGAGTCATGTACTGTATGTGTGTCCTCCCCCAAACAACACAATGACCATGTTGTTTGTGAAGGAAACTGGAATTTCCTCTCCACATCTTGTCCTGGTTAGGACTAAAAACAGAGGTTTTCAAACTGAGAGATAGAGAATTGGGGGGCGGGGCAGATGGCAAAGATACTGCATTAGGCGAAGGAAGGATGTTTCCGGTTAAGGTACTTTAAAACCCTTAGTGCAGATCTTGTTTGAAATATCTCACTCCTTCTCAGAGTCATGACTCAATCTGAAAACACCGACATGATGCACATATTTTTATATTCAGTGTAACTGACACTTTCCGAAGACATCATCTCCATAAATCTCCTTAGAAATAGAAAAACAAATCACTCCTTAAAACTCCAGACCTTGCCTGAGAATCATCACATTTTTAGGTTATCTTCAGTATCCAAGTAATCCAGTGATAGCTGTCTGGCTATCCATGGATAAACTGCAGAGAGGAACTGCCAATAGCTAATCCAGCATGCTTTTAATGGTGCCAATTTGCCAGAGTTTACTAGCTTTTCCAGTGTAGATAAACTTAGTCAGTCCTATTGCTGTTGGAGTCATTTTAACTTGGAGAAAGAAGGATTTGATCAAAGATGCAGCAGTAGTGCAGCATGCATAGAAAAGGGGAAGCTGTATAATGGATGTATCTGCATCTACTGTATGTTCCTGTCTGTGAATGTTGCTGTCTACACAGCTGTCATCAATGAATATTAACAGGTTCCTCGCATTTTGTCCAGGACTCAATTGCTGCTGTAGCACGTCAAGTAGCATGGATAAGTGGATTGGTTTGGTCATTGGATATTGCAATACAATGGAGGCTGGAGCATGTTTTAAATTGGTGTTTTGCTTTCGTTGTCCAGTTTGGTATAATCTTGCATAGCCACACCTCTGTCCCGTCAAACTTGTGGAAGTCTGGGGAAAATCTTTTCCAAACAATGGGGTCATTTTGCTGCAGTGTCCTTCTTTAACAACGTCTTGCTCTACCCTCAATTTACTGTTCATTGGTTTTAAGTATTGCAACAACCAACTGTGTCTTTTTTACTTGAATTTCCTCCGACCTCTGTGCGATTAACAATATGGATCGCTGGCTGCGTAAGATAAATGGTTGTATGTTGCCGAGGGGAATGGAGCATGCGAAGGATCTGTTGCTGGTCAGTGTTTTCAAAAGTACCTCAGCCTTCAGGTTCAGCTCTGAAATCTTCTTTTCTGTCTTCAGCCCAGGCCACCAATCCCTTGCTGTTGCCCAGATGCCCCCCTTACTCTCTTCCAGTGGACAAACCTTTTACGACAGCTCTGCTGCCAGTCACCCGAATAAACCTGAACAATCTCTACACAGTCTGGCAGAACGCCCTCATCTCAAACCTCTTTCGGGGTATAATCAAGAGGAAGGAAACAGTCAGAAAACTATAGCCAAATCTACTCCCCAATATAGTGGAGCACAAAAACAGCCAATGAAAGGACAGAGAGATAATGATGTCACAAACACTGGCCACAGTCTGGAGGTAGCAGCCATCGAGGAGGGAGAACTTTTCCAATCGTCTGTGGTGCCTTGGCCACTTCCTCTGAGCACAAACACTGCCAGCATGCAGTCACACAACAAGACGCACACAGGAACAAACGTCAGCAAGATCGACGATGACACAGAAATGGCCAAAACAGCTACAGAGGCACACAAGAATCTTGAAATGAGGGATGATAAAGAAAACAAGGACACACACACCACAAAGAGTGACAGTCCACAAATCAGCCCCCGCACACAAACACACACCCCTGATCTCAACCAACAAACCAAAGACCAACAGCTCCAAGAGGAGGAGAGGCTGTTGTTGGCTAAAATCAATATGATGACAGGTGACTCATCACCTGTCTCTGGCCCTCGCAGTATGAAGCTCCTCATCCCCGACCCCTGTGATATTGACAGTGACACCACAGAGCTTGTTGATTACAGTCAGTGCTGCTGTGACACCCTGCAGGAAATATCCCAAACTAAGGCAGAAGAGCCACCGGCCAATGAGCTGGAGCAAAATCAAGAAGGAGAGGAGGATGTGTAAGTCAGCCTGTGCTGCTCCAGAAAATGACATGCCACCGAGGCCTTGTGTTTGTTGTGATGTGCAGAAATGCAGACTCCAGTCGGAATTAAGTGACACTCACTAAAGATTTGACTTGAAGTTAAATTTGACTTGAAGTTAAATCTTATAATATATATTTGTAATACAAATAATATTTGTATTATTAATTATCATTAATAAGAATAAAGCCTTCTTTTCACTACGTATGAAAACCATACTATGAAGAGTCTTTGGTCACTAGCGGTTTTGTGAAACTGAAGCAGTGCATTAAGCTGAACGCTTACATCAGCATGCTAACTGACGATACTAACATTCAGATGTATAGTATCTTACTAAGTACAGCTGAGGCTGATGGGAATCTTTATTTGGTCATTAAACAAAGTGTTGGTACGGGCTTGAGGTCTCTCCCAAATTTCACTCAATACCACAAAATGTCAACCTTAAGGAGGCACTTGCCGTAAAGTCAGAGACTCTCCAGTCCAAAGAAATGCGGATTCATCCTCTTGGCCATGGATATATGTTTCATTTTCTTCATGTCAGTCTGGACTGTGGTGGTGGACAGATCATCAGACCGGCATCCATAAAGCCATGCTTCTAGAAACACTAGCCACACAGCTTAGCAAGCAAATGCTTTTCTTTTGGACTCGCAAAAGACTTAAAACAGCTCTGGCAACATGTGTGTGTTGCCACCGGGGCCGCATGCGTAATTTGAAGAACTGCTGCTGTGTATGATATGTTTTTCAACTGAATATCCAAAGCATGGAAAAATACACAACATAGACAAGTGTTTGGTGAATCTGCTTTGTTCTGAGGTGATTGAAATTGGCCGAACAGCATAGACCTGTGTTGAGGAAACTGTGCAGAAAGTTCTGCTGTATGTTCCCTGTCATGTCCTGCAACACCAAGGCTGTGCTGCCATCTGCCGTGTCAGCAAGCTTGCATGTCTCTCGCTCATCGCTGTTTGAATGATCTCCTTTGTTCCAAAAGCAAAGTGTCTTTCATGACCCGTCTCTCTCTGTTGTTTGTGTCCTGTCTCCTCGTAGGCTAAAAGGCCAATGTGCTGACCTCCCTGATGGTGGAGAGAAGAAATCGCCATCACAGCTTGGAGACACCTCAAGCAGACACACCAGTGATAAGCGCACTGACACAAACATCACTCCTCCCCATTACTGTGAGATGACCACATCTCGGCTTCCTACTTTACCAGAAGAAGAAACCTCTGACCTTAAGCCTGCTCCAATGGTCCGAGAGGAGGCTGACGAGAAGGACGATGCAGCTGAGGTAAATATGCACAATACTGATGTGTACATGAACTCTGACATGCTTTTTAAATTACAAACAAAAAACGGAACTTCTTCCTCTCTCGTCCTCCTCCTGCAGGGCCTGGTGAACTCCACCCAGTCGTTGCTCCAGTGGTGTCAGGACATCACCAATGGGTACCGGGGGATAAAGGTCACCAACTTCAGCACTTCCTGGAGAAATGGTCTGGCCTTCTGTTCCATCCTACATCATTTTCATCCAGACAAAATGTACGACTCGCAAGAAACATAACCTGCTTTTCAGCTTTATGCCTCTTTCTAGTTTGATCTTTGTTTTTCATTTGTTTTTTTATGAAACAATCAATTGTCAATTCAATTTGCAACTGTGAATATCTGCTTAATTATTTCATTTTATATAACAGTAAATTGAATGTCTTTTGGTTAGGGGGTTTTGTTTGGACAAAACTACACGTTTTTCATGTGTTCTGGGAAATTTTAATGGGCATTTTTCATTATTTTTTGGCATTTTATAGACCAAACAATAGATTGATTTATCAAGAAAATAACAAGCAGATTAATCAATAATGAAAGTAATTGTTAGTCTCAGCTCCACATGAATTTAAATGTTAACCTGTATGTTCTTAAATCATTATATGCTTCCCGTGTTTTGTCCCATTAGAGATTTTGACCAGTTGGTCTCTAATGACATCAAGCTGAACAACAAGAAGGTAAAGACGTGGCTCATGTTGATCAATCAGCTCTTAAGTGCCATCAGATGTGTTGATAGTTTACTCATTAACAGATATTTCTCTTTTGTTTCTGTGCTTGTCTTCCTACCACATCAGGCGTTTGACGGTTTCGAGGCGCTGGGCATCTCTCGCCTGCTGGAGCCGTCCGACATGGTTCTTCTGTCTGTCCCCGACAGGCTCATAGTCATGACCTACCTCAGCCAGATCCGCTCACACTTCACCAACCAGGAGCTGAGCGTGCTGCAGATAGAGCACAACAGCAGCCAGTCCAGCTACGGCCTCGCCCTCTCTGGTCCCGGTCCCACTAACGTCGATGCCGCTGCTTTCTGCATGGCCAGACTGAACGAAGGAGTGAGCTTGGAGGAAGGAAGGAGCAGCACGTTGGTCGTCCCACCACCGAGGACCAAACGACTGATTAAAGGTAGCCTCTGTGCCACTTTTAAACATGTCGACTCTCTTATTTTCACCACGATTCATTCATTTATTTTCATGGACCTTTTTTTGTGGGTTCATCATAACAAATCGTGCAGTCAAACTCACTTAAGATTCCCGTCCATATTGAAAGGTATTTCTTGCTTGAGTCGTGATGGTTTCAGTTGAACGATTTGACGAAGACAAATGTCAGGAAAAAAACAAAAGAGGAAATTGTTTAAAGCTTACTCAGGAAATTTGGTTGAATTATTAGGTTCAAGAATCCAACTTCTAATAGTTGTTTATATCTGTTTTTAGGAGACGAGTCAATAACCCCAGTCCCACCACCAAGGTCGGCTACTAAAGCAGGCAAATCTGGACTGACTCAGGTGACACTTTCTGTTTTCTTTTTAACTGGAACTGACTTCCATGTTTAAACTGTAATGTCATTTTCTAAAACAGGATTTTAAAAAACACTTTCAATTGTATTTTCTTAATTTGCTGTATGTGTCAGCCTTGTAATAGTTACTGTATGTGATAGTTTCATTTTTTTTCTTGTCCAGGATGAAGACACAAAGACAGGAATCACTAATAATACAGGTGAGTACCTAAAGCCCGAGCCTTTCAAAGACTTGAGTATTTATTCAACTTCCCATTTAGATTTATTTCTCTTCTTTTTTTTTTACACTTTTGATTTGTCCCGTGTGTGTCCCTGTGTGCAGAGAGTACAGCTGAGACCCAGCCTCCCAAACAAGAAGAGGAAACCATGGTCAGTTATGTGTTCCTCAGTTAACCCTTCCTCTTCTCTACTTACCCTTTTCTTTTATCTTTGACTCTCCTTCTCACATCAAATCAAATGAACATCATTAACGTGACTGATGGCTGCCAGAAGGAACAAATCATGTTTGCTTTTATTTTGTACAAATCTGTTCATATCGATTCCATTCTGTAGGCCGCTCTCTAATCTTTTGACCATCTTCTTCTACTTGTTTTCCTCTTTCCCGCAAATCCCTCTTTCCTTCGATCTCCTTTCCCCTTTTTCCCCTCTTGTGTATGTTCATGTGTGTTTGCATGTATGTATGTGTGTGTGTGTGTGTGTGTGTGTGATGTGGCTTGTGGTCAGTGTCTGCAGGACACCAGTCAGTATGTGCTGAGTGAGCTGGCAGCATTGGAGTCGGAGCAGAAGCACATCGACAGCAGAGCCGCCGTGGTGGAGAGACGACTGCGAAGCCTCATGGAAACAGGTGAGTCTCACACACACACACACACACGTGGAAAATATATATATAATCGATAAGTAATAAACTGGAAGGACTCAGGGAGCATCAGTGAACGGAGTAGGTTTTCTCATATACAAACTAAACTGCCTTTTGTTTTTCTGTTCATACAGGAAGCGACCGTACTGAAGAAGAAAGACTGATCCAGGAGTGGTTCACTCTGGTGAACAAGAAGAACGCTTTGATACGCAGACAGGACAATCTGGAGCTACTGTAAGACTTCTCCACACACAAACAATACACACACATGTACGCACACGTACGGTATACACAATACTTTAGCTGATTATCAACTGTGTCTACAGACAAGAGGAGCAAGATCTGGAGAGGAGGTTTGAGCTCCTGAACAGGGAACTTCGGGTGATGATGGCTATAGAAGGTGAGTAACCAACAGAGGTGGAGGAAGTATTCAGATTACTAACTTAAGTAAAAGTAGTAATTCTAAGGGATTTACAGATGACTGGCATGTTGATAACTAAAACCAATAAAATAGATTTTAAAAAGAAATGCATTTCATTACATTCCACCACTGGGAACCATTTAGCCTCTTGCTCAACACCACTTTTCTATTCAGTAAAGGTGAATGAGGAGGTAAACCCTCGTTTAATACAAGAAAAAAACTGAAATTGGTGAACTGCACATGATTATAGGAACCGTTACGTAAAGTTCTGCTGTTTATCCTGCAGACTGGCAGAAGTCGTCCACGCAGCAGCAGAGGGAGCAGCTGCTCCTCCAGGAGCTGGTGTCTTTGGTCAACCAGCGGGACGAGATCATCAGAGACATTGACGCCAAGGAGAGAGGGTGAGTGTGTGTGGGTGTATGGCTGTGTGGAAAAAAGACAAAACAAGTCGCAGGGAGACAGCAAATCCCTAAAATACAAGAGGTTACAGAGAAAGCATTGAAAAGTAAAACAATATTGAAGGTTAATGCTTGTGGTACTGACCTGCAAAACATAAAATGTAGTTAGTTCAATAATATGAATTATTTGTATTCCTTATTTACAAGCAATTCATTGATACAGGTCTATGTATAGATGGCTAAGATGTCTTATGCGTTGTATTGATATATGTGTTTGTGTTTGCAGCGCAATGGAGGAGGATGAGCGTCTAGAGCGCGGTCTGGAGATGAGGAGGCAAAAATATAACAACAAAGACAAATGTGTCCTACAGTGAGATGCGAGGTCTCACACAAACACACACACAGCTTTTATTAGCAAAAGATGATCTTTCAGGACTTTTGGGGCTCCATATTTCACTGTTTTTTGAGTGCCTTTATTTTCCCAAATAACTGTTAAGTCCCATTATAAGAGGAAAGACAAGATATGGGCTACAAACTGTGTCTTCTATGTTTTCTTGAAAATGAATAACTGTTGTTCTGTCAAAGTTTCCATCCGTCTTAAGTATTATTTTGAGTTCAGTTCACATATTCTTATTTATTTAAATGATGTGTCAGGTTGTTGTACATCTATTGTACATGTGTTTTGTGTGTGTTCATGTGTGAGTTTGTTCAGTATTTGAACGCTGGCTTTTCCTTTTCTTTTTTTTTTTATTACAAAGAATAGGTTACCCATCTTGACACGACTAGAGCTTGTCAGAATCTGCTGGACTAAAACCAAAATGTGCCTTGTCCTTTCGTAATATGCCCAAACTTATTAGATATAAAAATAAAAGGTGACAAGTCATGAGCTGGACTCAAATTCACAATATTGAGAGTACAGGGTACACATTTTAAACTTAAGGATGATCTCCAACATGACATTTTTATAAACCCAAAAAGCATTTCCACTTGTTGCAATATTGATTTTCTTTTTTTATATGTTGAAAGTGTTCTTCATATTAAGGAGTTATTAAACCTTGTGTGAGCACAAACCCTGAACGCCTTAAATAACGTGTGGGGATGTGATGTTCATGCCTGCTTGAATCACAGAAATGAACCCGTTTCCTCCCTTCTGTGTCCTTGTACTACTGTATGCATGCTGTTTGAGGTGCACTGATAAAGTGGTTCCCTGCTTCACATCACTACTGTATATCTATCACACACTGTATACCGGATGCTGTCTATATTTATGAGTTGGAAGATTTGATGTTGAATTACATTGATAAATACGTTCAAGAAACATCAATATTGTTTGCTTGCTTGCGTCAGGATTTTGATTGATTTTTTTTTGGACACAACATGAAGCTGTGAAATATAATACAATTTGGGACAACTCCTTGGCCATGAATACCGCCTGTACTTTTTTGTCTTATTGCACTGGATTGCAGTAGAAAGTGAAACATTCCTGTTATTATGGCACAAGTTACACACACTAAATATTTGTTTTAATTAAATTACCAATGTTTTTGAACAGTAAAAAAAGTGAAGGCAGGTTACCAGCTCAGGTTAAACTTACCCAGTGGAAACATTTGAATAGGCTCATGTAAGCTATGGTGTTAGATAGGACGTAGTTTACAGAAAGTCTTGTGTCCGCTTATTTTACTGAAGCATATATCTTTAAAGTGAATCATTACAGTGTGTATGTGTGTGTGTTTGTTTGTGTGTGCATGTGTGTGTGTGTGTACACGCACACCTGTGGTCTGTCCCCTCCCAGAGTATTAGAGCTAATCAGCTTGACTCTGCAGCACAGATCTCCACTTTATAGGGATATGCTAATCTTAAATGACAGAACCAATGCGTTAGCTGTAGCTCAGCAGGAACCTCCTGAAGCTCTGATAGCAAACCCTCAGTTCGGTCATGCTCGAACCAGAACATGGCCCTATGATGCAGGTGGAGCACACCCATACAAGGTGTTGGGTGTGTGTGCTGAGCTGCCTTCTGCTCGCCTGCCTGTACGTTGGCAGCTTGTACGTCTGGAGAAGCAGCTTACCCAGGTATACAACTCACCAGCAGAGCTGTGACAGTGCCGTTAGACTGGACTATTAAACTGTTTCTATGTGTGCTTGTGCGCAGGGATCATCCCGGTTTGATAAAGCGTCGCTGTGCCAGTGTGCTGCTGGTCTCTGCACTGTCACCTGCAGTGGTGAAGGCATGGATGCACTGGGCTGATGTCAAGGTGAGTACGTGAACAAAAACATTGTCTGCATCTCCCTTCTCTTCAATTCTCCAGTCGGCACTAGTTTAATGCAATAAGCAATGTCCTAGCAAACCGCTGAGAATTAAACTCCATTTCGATCTTTGACAGGCTTTGTCCAGTGAACATTACAGAACACAGCAGGTGATATGCACTCACTCTATTGCGTTATACTGAAGTATTATTTTGTCCGGCCCATTTATATCAATGAGGCTAGGCTCAGACACTCTCAAACTAAATCCTCCAAAATTAAACAGTTTAAGCAACACCTCTTTAAAACGTTAAACAAAAACTAAACATGGCCTTTATGGACTGCTGTTTTAGACTGCATTAGTTGTATCTAAGTGTCCCTAATAAACTGACAGCTGAGTGTATATATGCTTATTGTCTGTGCTAAATTTATACCAAAACAACGCAGTAAGCTGCAAGGGATTTATGTCTTTCTTAAAGTCACTTTACAGAGGGAACTGAACCCTGACCGTCCAGGTGAAGGACAGTGGCCTCACTCCTGGGGGCATAAGGTGTTTTGTGAGGTTAAGCCTGGAGTCACACTGGCTTAACTTCATAATCACTTTAGGTTACAAACTATGTTAATAAAGCTGCATTCTGCTCCTCCAGGTCGATGCGTCTGTGTGGCAGTTGATGGGAGTTCGTTTGGAAGGTCTGGTTCCTGCAGCCGTACTGCCACTACTTCTAACCGTGGTATGTCCGAGAGTCTCAACCCAGATTAAACCTTGACGAAAAACATTTCTGTCTTTGCCGATCTTTTATAGAGGATAGCTTAGCTGTTAGATGTACAATAATTCAACGATATGCAACTTGAGCACCTGCTTGTCACAGTTGATTTCATGAAGGTACCACAGGGCTTGGCTAAGAGCGCTGATTTCATCGAGAATTCTTAGATCCAATTCAGTGTCTGACCCGATTTAAAGCTTAATATCCAGAGTTCCCATGAAACAACATTCACTTTTCTAAAATTGCTTTGACTACCATATTTTAATTAACCTGTTAGATGTAAAGTCAACCAGAGAACCTCTTACCTTGTGGATCCCGTTTGCCTCTTAGAATGTTTTATTTATGCTGCACTAAAGCAGTTTGGACGTTTTGGAGATTCAATTATTCCCAATACGATACAGCATGACTTTACAACCTCCATTAAATTCCATGTGCATGTTTAAACCACATGTCTAAAAAAATGTGCCCTGTAGCCTCAATATCCTCTCCTTAAATCTTTTTATTATATACTTCCACTGGATGTAATAAAGAATTGATTTTACTTTAAACATCAGGTATTTTATCTCGGCCCCCTGGTTCATTCTGTGATAGACAACCCCGACGGCTTCACACTGCAGTCTGCACTAAGTGAGTTATATATTATGTCCCGGTTGGGTAGTTTTACATGTGTGTCTGCATGCATTTGATGTGTAAGTCAAGACTTTATTTTCCCAGATGTTCAATCATGGATGCTGTGTGTGGGAGATGCAGTGTGGCTCAGGAACCAGGTGGTGGCACCGGTGACGGAGGAGCTGGTGTTCAGAGGGGCCATGCTGCCCATGCTGGTGCCCTGCACAGGACCCACAGCTGCCATCTTCATGGCCCCTCTGTTCTTCGGTGTTGGTATGGCAACCAGATTTTCAGGCTTATATTTACATGTTGGCAAGGGCTTTATTTATTTTTTATTTGACATAGATGTTTGCCTCAATTCATAGCTACTTTACTCGTCATTCTAGCCCACTTCCACCATATCGTAGAGCAACGTCGCCTCCACAAGGACAGTATGAGTGTCATCCTCTTGGTGTCAGGTCAGTTGGCTCACAAAACTCTCCTCAAAGCAAATTTATTCAAATGAAGTTAGTATTCTATTTTGGGGATTTTAGTAGATGAATGATTTAACTTTAAATTCGACACGTTTCATGGGGGAAATAATTCTGTGCTGTTCTGTTGTAGGGAGTCAGTTCTTGTACACAACTGTGTTCGGTGCCTTCACTTCCTTTATATTCATGAGAACTGGTGAGAGAAGAACGGCACATTAACCTGCTAGCATGCTCACGTACAGTACACACCTCATTACACTAAATCTGTAATCTCTTTCTGAAGGTCACGTTGTGGGTCCAGTTTTGTGCCATTCGTTCTGTAACAGTCAAGGGCTGCCTGACATCAGCTCGGCCCTGCAACACCCTCAGCGGTCTGCTCTACTTTTCTCGTATCTGATGGGGCTGCTGCTCTTTCTGCTGCTTCTCTTCACGCTGACAGACCCCTTCTTCTATGGTGCCATTCCTGTCTGCAGCCTGGCTACCCCCGCAGCGTCGGCATGCTAGATTAAATTAAATTAAATATACTCCTCTTAAAACTTCTTGTTTTTATTACGGTGGATTTCATTTTGTGTTGGGTTTTCAAATAAAAAAAGTATTTTTATATAGTGTGTGTGCATTTATAGGTGTGTGTGGGTGGATGTGTGCATGAGAAGAGAATGATCCTAGCACGTCAGACATTTCCTGCATGGTTGGAAATATTTCCTACTGTATTGAAACACAACACCAGTACAACTTTCAGTGGCTGAGAGAGAAATTGTGTGTGTGGCAGAGAAAAACAGAAAGTGAATGAGTGAGAAGGGAAGGCAATGGAGGAGACAGCAGTAGAGAAAGACACATATGGAGAGAGTCAGACAGACAGAAACACAGACACAGAGGCTAAGTAACACTCCAAAGGAACCAAAATGGAGAGGAACAGCTATGCAAGTCACTCTATTAGAACAAATAAGGCTATGAAAGACAGGCTTGTGAGAAAAAACTGTTACAGCCAGAAGCAACACGGGCGATGCCAACAGAGATTAAGAGGAGAGAAGCGAAAAATAAAGGAGAACAGAAAAGATGGAGGGGGAGGATAGGGGAAACGTTAGTGTGTCCCCAAGGAAATTTAGAATGTGGAGTAGCAGATTTGAGGAGGAGAGGGTTCGACTGAGAGGTGAAATGTTGTGTTAGACAATTAAGATTTATGAGTCAGACTGATCAGCAGATTATACAAAAAAAATGTCTATAACCCAGACCAGGAAAGGCAAAAGCAGGTTTACACAGAGGAATAGAGCTCCAGACTGTAGTTAGACTATAAATAATGTATTTAATTTCTCTTCATTTCCCTGCATGTGAAGCACCCAAAACACATAGTTTCATGTCTTTTGTCAGTTTTAGACTTTTTTTTTGTAGTACGAAAGACAGATAAAAGAAACAGTAAAACATTTTGGGACATGTACTTATTTGCTTTCTTGACGAGAGTTGGATGAGAATATCGATACCACTCTATAGCTGAAGCCAGCAGCGGGTTAGCTTAGCTTAGCAGAAAGAGTGGAAACAGCCAGCCCGGATCTGACTGAAAGCAAAAATGTTGGCAACTCTAAAACTTGGTAAATAACATGTTGTATCTAATCCATGCAAAAACCAAAGTGTAGAACGCACAATGCATTGGTTTATAGGGGATTCTATGCCGAGCTAAATCTTGGCCAGAACCAATTGCTAGGAAACCAGTGTTGACTCAAGGAGTCAGATATAAAGTGTTAATTAGTGTAATAGGCAGATTTTATTTTTTACCTTTGAACAGATCCAGGCTAGCTGTTTCCTGTCTTTATGCTAAGCTAGCTGGAGTGTAACAGCACCAGTTCCCCATTACTTCTAATAACAACTGGTCATTGCTGTGAAATGTTGGAAGGTTTAAAGAGAACAAGGATGGGTTTTTTTCATATCTTTATTTATCCAAGGAAATACTGCTGACTTCTCATCATGCTCTCTCGCTGCTTCGCTTTCATACATTTCAACTCAGTCATAACTTGGGATCTTTCCAGTACAACAAAGTCTTGAGCTGCTGGCCGATGAGAGTTTGGGGATTTGGCGGACTTTGCTGCTCAGGATCAAGCTTGTCAGCTGTTTTTGCCAGAAGCAACTGTATTACCTATCTTACCCTAAATTTTTCCCGGAGAATTACACTGAGATTAAATGTAACAACCTCCGATTTGGCAGCTATGTGATTTGAAGACAGCAGAAATAATAGAGAGCAAAGACAAACAGGCTGTTATTTGACAGACCTGCAGAAGATTTCAGCATTGTGGTTAGGGAATGATTTACGCTCTCTGATGCTGACTCAGGCAGTTTACTGATTCCTTGCCATTTCTTTCAGAATAGCTTTTTGTTTTGTGAAGCACACGCTGAAAATAGAGTTCAGGTTACGTGAGGGATGTGGATGTGGGGTACAAATGTAGTTTCAACAGGAGAAATCTAGAGAGAATAGAAGGAAATGGTGCAGAGAGAAGTCAGACGTGTGGCGGGTTACCTCAAAGGTCCTTCACATCCGACGTCTGTCTGTTTGTCTGAGCCTTTGTGTCCTGACCCTTTCTTGTGGAGTCGTCATCCTTTCTCCCCACTGTTAATCCATTTACCACTATACACACACACACACACACACACACACACACACACACACACACAAATGGCTCCGTCTCTAGAGAAATATGACTGTATCACGAAAGACACTACAAAGAAGTGTAAGATGTGTGTGTGTGTGTGTGTGTGTGTGTGCGTGTGTGTGTCTGTGTGTCTATGGAAAAACTGAGCCTATCATCTGGAAAAGGAATAATCTGTCAGGAATCATGCTCTCCCAGTGCTCTCTCCATCTTTGTTTCTGCCTCTCAGCAGTTCTTTCAACCTGAACAGTTTTCTGGTGATTTTTTTAGCAGAGTTTCTATTGGTCTGAGGTTTGTTTAAACATGTGTGATTCTTTACGTGCAGCAAACTCCAAACTCCAAGGTGCATTAGTGTCACCCGAGCCGTTCTTTGCTGCTTCTGCAAAGCTAAAAAAGGTTTTTGGACAGATAGAGCTCGATCACTGCAGTTTCCATCAGCGACCATGTTTGTTTTAAAATTGCCATATGACTCCAAACCGGAGATTCAGGAGCAGCTGTTCAAAGATATTCATTGTTTCCATTCTCCATTTTTTTTTTATTGCCAGTTTAAAGAATGCAATGCAAGAATACTTGTAGATGAGAATGAGAAATGAAGACACAAATTAGATTTTCCAAACCCTCCCGGTGCCCAGTTTGTTGCCAGTTTACAATCTGAAAATTGTTCCAGTGCAGCTGCTCATTGGATAACAGGAGGAATCTGTGTTGGTACTGGGCAGCTTTTAGGTGTGGACATGTGTGAAACTGAGCATGAAGGAATGAGGACACGGATGAAAAGCATGCTTAGTAAACTATTTTAAGGTTAAATAAAGGTTAATAAAGTTCATCTGGCATATAGACGTATAGCTGCGAGCACAGTTACCAACAAGCTTACAAAAGTGTCTCTTAGCTCTTTTAGCTGATGGTCCAAGCAACTGTGGACATCAACTGGCAGGGAATTATTCCTTCTGGACTCATCCATTCCACCCCAGTCTGCTCAGAAATTTGTGGTGAAGATTTGTTGACAGTCTGGGTGTGGATGGAGAGCACATAGATATCTGCTGTGAGAGATGAAACATATGGACCTTGTAGACGAAGTGGATAAAAGTATCGTCTTTTTCCTCCACTCCACAGAAATCACCAGGAATGCCTACACTCCGTTATTTAACCACAAGGCCGCAGCTAATTGCTTCAGTGTGTGTGCGTGTGTGTGTGTGTGTGTGCGTGTGCATGACATAAGACCCCGGCGGTTGGGGAAAATGAACAACTGACGTGTCCTGCTGTATTTGATTCGGTGCACACGGTTCAATAGGCTTCAATGGGGTGAGTCTGACCTCCACTGACCCACGGCAGTAAAGAAATGCAGTTTCGTTGACATCAGTGTGGAAGCTTGGTGACCTCAGGAGAGAAACAGAATGACAGACCAGAAATATATTTTCCACATATGCAATGAATTGTGATTGACATACAGTAGATTTAGCAAAGTATTGCCTGAAATTGTGCACTGTTATCCCTCCATCATGGCTCTGCCTTTGAATGTGGCCGTTTGTAAACACTTTTGCATTTCAACGTGACTGGACGACACATTGCACAAACTAGTTCTTTTCTAGCATAACCCAGCCTTTAGTCTTCTTAGATACATGTCACAATGGTCTTTGAGTGAAATGTCCTTAAGTGTATATTCAAGTGTCAGCAATCCAGACAGAACATCTAATCAAGAACAGCTATTCAGCACTAGAAAATAGAATTAGTGGTTGAAGTGAAATGGAGAGGCTTTGGAGCTGGAAGTTACAATTCAGCTGCTTGGAAGCTAGAAGTTGAGAATATATCAGAGCCAGTAACGACATGTGGCAAGTGGTTAGGAGTCAAGGAGCTAGACAGTAGGCTGTGACCTAGGAGGTGAAGAGAGTCAGAAGAGCTGTATGTTCCATTAGAGGTCTTCGAGTCGGGAGATAGAGCAGCTTGGAGGTACTATAAGTAGATTAATGTTAAAGAGGGGAATTGGGAGCGCAGGACTGTGGAAAGGAGAAGTTTTGTCTGCTCCATCAATTACATTTCTGGAATGTGTCTCTGGGGGCGTGGCAGTCTGAGCAGGAGGAGGGGTCAACCAGGCCTGTGCGATAGAATAAACAGACCAAGAGTGGGAGGTTTGGGGCAAAAGCTGGGGGTCTCGGGGAGAGATTGCTGACTTGGGAGCCCAAATAATAAGACTAAAAGAGAAGAGGGGGAGAGGAGTAGCAGGGAGAATATACGGAAGGGGAGGAGAGGATACAAGAAAGGAGGGACAAGGGGGAGATTAAAGAATAACAAGGAAAGGAAGAGAGGAGACAGAGGAGGATGGGGGTAGTCCAAGAAAAAGAAATTTAGAGGATAACAGGCAGAGGATGAGGGATGTGGAGGAGGAGGAGAAAGAGGTGGGGAACAAGACTAAAAGGCTCTTTAGGATCTCCAGGATCCTGAGGTTTGATGTTTGCTTCCCTCTAGTTCCAATGGTTGTTACATAACTGGAACAGACTACTGAATTGTTCGAGGGTATTGTATACATTCTGTCTGCCAAAACCAACGGGCCACAGCCAGCCGACACATCTGGTGAACACAGATAGAGCACAGAACACTGCAGCTGATAACAGCTTCAACTACTCAAATAGCATGACTTTTCCATCTCATCATCCTGCGTTGAGACGCTACAGCAACACATGATAATGACATCAAGCTGCCCTAAATTGTGTTGTGGCAGGTCACACTTTCCACAGAGAAGGGCTGTTGTTTGCCCAAGCACTCTTCCACTTTGCTGTACTGTTCAACAATTCAGCTTGTTTGTGTGTGGTAGACCTTAATTTACAGTCTCTCGGCCAGTTGTTTCCCCCGGCAGCTTTAAATCTGTAACATTCCCATCAGCTGCTGACTTCATTTGATGTTCCTTTTTTATTTTTTTTAAATCCAAACTCACCTTTAACTTTGCACCAGGTGTACCATTCATGGCAGACGGATCATGTGATGGCAGTGGAGGTACCCCCAGTCTACCCTCCTGCTCCCCAGCTACTGCGAGGTCAGGCTGATGCACATCTGGCATTTTCTGTTTCCTCTCCTCCATATGCCCCTGAGTGGTAGCCACACACACACACACACACACACACACACACACACACACACACACTGAAAAACTCTATTCTCTTCGACATCTGTGCCAATACGAAGTTATTGTATAACAGCATGAAAATGAACTCACACACACACACACACACACACACACACACACACACACACACACACACACACACACACATGTGCATAGTCCAACAGGTCTTCCCTTTCCATACTCAAATGTTTCCATTGGACTGTTAAAAGTTCCAGCTGGTATGTGCTTGGTAGAAAGAGGGAATGAAGGGTGGTGGCAGAAAAAGAGACAATAGAGCGAAAAATGGGGGAGATTAAAAAAGAATGAGAATAAGAGAAATAAATATAGGAACACAAAAAAAAACAAATGCTGACGGAGCAGGAGAATCAGGCAGAAAGACAGAAGGTGGAAGAGAAAAAGAAGAAGAGGGAGACGATCTTTGCATCTCTCAGAGCTGACAAACACTTTCCACTCCTGTGGATGCTGTGCAGTGTGCACTACTTGAAGGTTATGTGTGTGTGTGACTAGATGAGAGTGCATGTGTGTGTGTCTAAAGCCATAGGCAAGATGGGGGGGGGGACAGAATGGTGCCGTATGGTTTTCATAACTCTCTGAGGCTTTTCAATTTTGTAACCCCCCCCCCCACACCCACACACACAACAATCTGTCAGCCCCTCCTGCCGTCCCTTATACACTCACACATTTTACCAGCCCCCTCTTCCAAAGAACTCACAATTCTTTTTCCTCTACGTAGCCTCCCCCCTTTCCCCCTCCCCCATCTCTCTCTCTCTCTCTTTCTGAGGTTCAGTCAGGAAGACAACTTTGCAGAGGCGAGAGAGCCCTGGCAGGATCAGATACAGGAGAGGGTTTCCGTAACTGAAATTCATCACTTTCATATTTGGAGTCTATTTATCTCTTTTGGACTCACTTGAAAGACAGATTGCTCCACTGAACAATTTTGAACACCGGACTATACTGGTATACTTCTCTGGACTTTAGTTTGGACTGGACTGGACACAACTGGACTTCACTGGTTAGATGTATAGGATCTGGTGTAATCTGATTCATTGTGGCAGCAGTGCTGAAAGTCTGCTGATGTACAGTAGTTTGACCGATTCTGCACCGTAGGGGTTTTTTGTCTGGGGCTTGGGCAGTTTTTATTTTGACAGCAAGGTTGGAATGTTGGCCTAGGTTAAACTGCATGTCTTGGTGGAGGATGCAAAAGACCATAAGAAGCAGCAGCAGCATGCCTCTCCTGTGTGTCCTGTGGCTGCTGATGGTCTGTCTGGCTCCTGGAAGCCAAGGCCAGAGGCTGAGGGAGACGGAGGGGGAGCAGCCAGCAGCCAGCGCTCAGCTGGCGGAGAGAGACGTGCTCTGCCACCAGGAGGGATGCTACACCGTCTTCCTCCAGAAGAGAACCTTCAGGGAGGCTGGGCGGAGCTGTCGGGAGCGAGGTGGGACCCTGGCAACGATGCACACCCGCAAGGCAGCGGGTGTGGTCCATGAGCTGCTGTCGGCCATCGAGGGAACCAGGTCGAGGCTTCGCCTCTGGATCGGGCTGCATAGGCCGCCACGCCAGTGCTCATCCACCCGACTTCTCCGAGGATTCGTCTGGGTCACAGGCAAAGTCTCCCCTTTTTGACATTTGACCCTTCAGTGTCAGTTCAATTGAGCCATTTTAGTGGATTTTGATAACTCAGCTCAGAAACAAATTGCTCCAAAATAAGGAAAGGTACATAATGGTTCCAGGTTTGTAAGAATCTAATGGAATAACTGTGGGTCAGTATGAGGCTGAATCTGTTCGAAAAGGATTTAGTTAGTGAATCACCAGATTAAGTTGGTTCAGCTGTGTTTGCAGACTTACATGTACAGAACTAAATTTACCAATGCTAGATTCAGGCCTTTTTTTTACCATACATTGTAGTTTTAAGTGAATATGGACCTGTGATGATACAACAATAGACTTTCCTAAACTTAAATCAGCATTGACAACCGTTAGGCTTTCTTCAATAATACTACTTTCACACACAGAGACAGACACACAGACACAGACATATCATTTGTAACAAGAGTTTATGAATAGATTATGCTGGCCCCGACCCTAACCTCTCTGTCAGGCTTTGGTACCTGGGCCAGAACAGACATTACATTTTAAAGAGTTATGTGGTCAACTTAGCTGTTTTTTTTTGTTTGTTTACCTAAATTATAAAAAATCATGTTTCTCACTTATCCCTGGGAGTATCTAGCATGAGCAATGAAGGGATAGTTTTGGAGGGTTTGATATGGAGGTTTCTTCCTGTTCATATATATACAGAATATATAGTTGCCTATTTGGCGACTCCTTGTGGTGGTAACAACAAAAACACTTTGGCAGACCACAATGCAGGCTGCTGTAACCCCCCACCCCAACCCAGAATAAATGACAATGAATAGGGCAACATCAACATATAGACTGCAGGGTTTTTTTTTTCATAAAGTCACATACAATATACTACACATGGCAGCTTTAATCAGAAGCTTAAGGATTAACTCTTAAAATGTTTCATATAGATCTGAAAAGCAAATGAAATACTAGAAGAGAAAAATCAAAGAGGGATTTTCTACTTTTTACTGATCATGGTCCTTGTCTTTATCTTCCCACAGGAGACCAGGACGGCCAGTTCACCAACTGGCTCCGTGAAGACACCCCTGGGACTTGTGCGGCCCCTCGCTGTGTGGCCATGACCGTCCACACGTCTGAGAGTGGACGTGAGAGCGCTGACAATTTCCGGTGGGTCGACGGCTCCTGCGCGCTGCCGTTGGATGGATACGTTTGCCAGTACAACTACAAAGGAATGTGTTCACCGCTGGAGGACGAGGGCCGTGGTCCGGCTCTTTACACCACCCCCTTTCACCTTGTCAGCACACTGCTGACCCACGTGCCCTACGGCTCTGTAGCCGCTGTACCGTGCCCTGCAGACGCCTCAGACCCAGAGGCCCGTGCTGAGCAGACAGTGCTGTGCATGGAGAGAGACGACGAGACAGTGGGCTGGTCCAGGGACGCCCCGCTGTGCTCATCCGGTGCAGCTCCGCAGAACCAGGACTGGTGTAGCGAAGACCATGGCTGTGAGCAGTACTGTCAGAACACAGACACAGACTACTACTGTTACTGCTCTGAGGGCTTCACGATAGATGAGGACGGGTACAGCTGCAAGCCTGATCCCCTGAGCCTAACTGACCCACCTGAATTATCCGCTGACTCCGCCGGTCCCACTGAGCAGCCCCACATCAAAGAGGTCTGTGTGAAGATGGGGTGTGAGTACGACTGCGTGGAGACACTGCGAGGCGTCCGCTGCACATGCCCCCACGGTTACCAAATGGGTCCAGATGGCCGCAAATGCTCTGACGTAGACGAATGTCAACAGCAACCGTGCACGCAACTGTGTGTCAACATCCCAGGCACGTTCCACTGCATCTGTCACTCCGGCTACCAGCCAGACGACGAGGGCGAGTGTGTGGACATCGACGAGTGCGTCTATGAGGACAGCTGTGAAGGCCCTTGTGAAAACACAGCGGGGTCCTTCACATGCCTGTGTAACCCCGGGTACGTGTCGGGCATTGGAGAAAAGTGTGTGGATGTAGATGAGTGTGTGGGGGTGTCGCCCTGCCAGCAGCAGTGTCTCAACTACATGGGAGGGTACCAGTGTTACTGTGGCAATGGCTACAGCCTGCAGTCAGATGGGCTTACCTGCCAGCCTTCGCCTGATGATGGAGAATATTCCACCCTGACCCCTGACCCCGGTGACTTCGCTCACATGCCCGAATTGGACCCTGACCATGATATTCTTTGGGCCACCTCATTCACCCCGGACCCGAACTTTGAAGCTGACACTAACTTTGACGTTGACTGGCTGACAGAAGCCCCTGAAGCCCCCTCCCCTGACATGGCTCATGGGTCAGACAATCATCTGAACCAATGGGATGCCCTATCACCAAAGCGATATCAGACAGTCCCATCCCCAACGCAAAAAGACAACACAGGCAATGAAATTGATAATGAGGCTGAAGCTAAGACTGAAGGTAGTGAAGGTAGAGATAAGGAGGGGGCTGAAACTGCAAACGGGTCAGCCACTGGAACAAGGCAGGGAGAGGGATCTGAAGTAGATAGCACGGAGGAGGCAGGGGCCGGATCTGCTGCAGGTGAACGCAAGCATGACAAGAGCTGGTTACTGGTGGCCCTGCTGGTGCCTCTGTGCGTGTTCCTGGTAGTGATGCTGGCTCTGGGGATCGTCTACTGCACCAGCTGTGCTGTGGACAAGAGCCTGAGCTTCTCAGACTGCTATCGCTGGGTACTCCCTACAACGCCTCCTGACAGGAGGGCTGGCAAAACCCAAGCATAAACCCTAAAATAAACAAACACACACACAGATGTTTTTTTCACATTTCTCTTGTGTGTAAGCAAGGCTGGTCACTAAACCTACCATTTGGATGTAATAGCCAACTACTTTCTGTTGCACACCTCTTGTAAATAATTCACTTTCTGATTTTCTTTTTAGAATTCAATAAAACCAATAAACTGATGAAATTCTGTGTGGTTTTATAAGCCTATCTGGGTTATAACAGAAAACAATGTCCAATTAAAGAGGATGAACAAATGAAAGTGTGTTTGAAAAGAATGTGTGGTTACGGTTTTATGGATCCACTGTGTGTAAAAACAAAATAAAGGCTTCATTGATTCACTCTAAACAAGAGTACAGGGAGCTGTGGGTGAGGGGGGGAGGGCAAGTCGAGATCTGCCACAAACCGGAACAAGTTCTCCGGAGTGTCACCTTGCCACGAGTTCCGGTTGTGTGAGGTACTAATAATGCTATTACCGATGTCTACCGTATACCGTGGCCAAATAATTTGGAGACATCTCCGACTATGGAAAAGATCTCCGACGAGGATGGGATTCGAACCCACGCGTGCAGAGCACAATGGATTAGCAGTCCATCGCCTTAACCACTCGGCCACCTCGTCCTGTGTCTGCAATGCGAGGCAATATTGGTAATTATTTGTGTGTACGTGAATATGTTCTTCTAATACTTTTTTTTATGGTGTTACAGTCTTGTGTGCTTTGTTTGGGTCCAGATAACGTCTTTTTCATGCTCACCCTTGCCTAAAGAATTACGAATTGAAGCGCAGCGAAAAGTCCAGTGCTGGTACTTCGTGATTGGTTAGTTTTCCCATCAACCAAATTGTACAACCTGTGATTGGTTGAGGGGCGGGTCTTACGTTGAATAAATACAGGAAGTGTAGAGCCGAGGGTGAGATTGCAATTTGACGGAGCTGTTGAAGAAAAGAAGGTAATAAGCTATTGAGTATGTACCCACCTTTATACCTCTCGAGATGAAGTGTTTAGTTGCTAATCATGCATAGAAGTAGTTTGTATAATATTTCTAAGTAATATTTGTCTTACAGTAGTTGTGGCAGCACGTTTATATGTTTATAGCACTCAGCATCTGCTTAGCTTTGCGCTAGTAGCTAACAGTAACGTTGAGGTAGCTCAGTAGCCTGAATACTAAACGTATTTACAGTAACGTTATTTACTTAAATATGAGGTGTGAGTGGTTATTAGTTTGCTCATTTTAAAGGGACATTTAAAGACGTGTGGGATTCTGCATGTTTGCGCCTCGGGTTATATAATTATTGGTTTTAAAGTGGAACAGGAAATGGAATGCAACGTTAAAAAGTTTACTGTCACGCATGTGGAATTTTGCTTCAGCATCTAACGTTAACCCAGGGGTGTCCAAACTTTTTTCAAAGAGGGCCAGATTTGATGATGTGGAAATGCCCAAGGGCCAACAGTCCCTGCTAACATTATTTTAAACAATACAAGTAGCCTATACATGCATTGTTATTTAATCATTCTATTTTCAATGACAGCGAATAGCAATGTAACCAAATGTAAGCATTCATGTGTGACCGGACTTTGGGCATGCCTGGCCTAAACCTTAGTTGTTTCCTGTGAAGATGGAAGTTTATTTTGAAAAGACAGTATGCATGTAACAAGCGAAAACACTCATGTTGCTGGACTTTTGCAGGAAAAGTAATATTTCGTAAGATATCAATAAAACGGGGATGAATTTATATCATTGTATAAAGAGAGTGACATGAGAAGATCAATCTCATGTCTGCAAGTTAAATCAGCTATAATCACTATTTTAAAGTGATTAGTGACTCGTCTAAAACATTTAAAATAGGAATAACTTCAATAGAATCATTCTGATACACTGTAGCTTCTTTACATTCTATTAGAATGTAAAGAAGTTTCATTCTGATACACTGTAGCTTCTTTACATTCTATTAGAATGTAAAGAAGTTGCACTCTTGACTTTTCTTTTCTTCCCACAAGAGCGTAATTTGTCAGGTTGATAAAAAAATGTCGCTTTACTTCCTGACGTTATTGTTACTTTAACCTGTTCTAGTGTAAGAGCAGTGGGCGGTGAGCTCTTCAGTGGTCTGGTGCCTTGCGTAAGGGCACCGTGGCAGTGCCCAGGAGGCACGCTGGCACCTCTTCAGCTGCCAGGCCACACTACTATTTATTTACTTAAATAGTTCACTGAATAAACAATTGTAAAAAAATATATATATATATATATTAACAGTTAAATTGTGGCAGTCCTGTTTGATATGCCAACTAATCGAGTATTTGGTAGAATTACTTGTAAGAAGTAGCCTTTTTCCATAACTTATATCCTTTATACAATAATCATACTGAGCAAAACAAGCTGCAGATTTGTCAAGTTAATGTTTTCACTATAACCGTTATAAATCTGTGTTTGTACAATACACAATCTGCTTAACCTGCATGAAGCTTAGATGTGCAAATACTTACTGTAGCTCATGGTTATGGAAAAAAAAGCCAATGATGTTGGTTCTAAGTGTCTGTTTATCTTTTTATCTGCTGCTCATCATTTTCTCCTCCCTTCCTCTCTCTTAATTCAGTTCGTCATCGTCAGTGTTGAACCTCAGACTTAAGATGGTAGACTCCCAGTACTACCTCCCAAATGAGATTGGTGTAGCTGCTCTTGACTGCACCGAGGCCTTCCGTTTGCTTTCACCTCAGGAGAAGATGTACTCCCACTACCTGTCACGTGCAGCCTGGTACGCTACTAATCACAGCATTTTGCAAGTTCAAGTCAGGCGCCATTGAAATGCGCAATTAACTGAAGACTTTGATAACTGAAAGCCTGTGCATCCTCTGCTGTGTTAGGTATGGTGGTCTGGCAGTGCTGTTGCAGACGTCCCCAGAGTCTGCAGATATCTTTGTGTTGCTGCAGAGAATCTTCAGGAAGCAGACGCCTGCGCAGCTGGAACAGGTTGCAACAGCAACTGGACTCAGCTCTGAGGAGTACCAGGTACACAGTCTGTCTCTGGAGCTGACTTACGTTTTCACCCACAAACAAACGCAAACATGTATAAAGATGTTCAATATGCTATACACAGGATGAACATTATATTGCATTTCTTTCTTGATTGATATTTTAGGCATTCTTGGTGTATGCAGCTGGTCTGTATGCCAACATGGGAAACTACAAATCTTTTGGAGACACCAAGTTCATCCCAAATCTACCCAAGGTAAAAATCCACTTCAGCTGATTTGTAACAGTTGTTTTTCAGTTGGTTTTAACACTTGTCAAACGGCTGTGACATATTTTAAGCCGTCTGCGTCTGTCCACCCAGGACAAGCTGAAAGCTCTGGTGAGGGCCAGCCAGGCATTTCAGGAGCAGCCCACTGAGATGGAGGCTCTGTGGGACAGCTGCTCGTGTCTCCTCTTCTCCCTGGAAGACAGACAGAAACAGCTGGGGCTGGGCGACAAGGTGGGGTCTTGTATAATTGAATACAGGTCAGCTGTGACCATAAACTATTTTGTCTCGTAATATTTAATAAAATGTCAATTGTGTTGTCGGGACATAAACAATTTAATGCATGTTAAGATGACTTCTTATTCTGCATTATAAGAATTGAATATATAAGTGGATGGTAGCAAGTCAAATGGTCTGCAGTTTGGTGTGTTTAGATTGTTTGCAAACACCAATAACCCTTTAGGAAGCCGCTGAACCTAAACTTCCAGTGAGTTCTTCAGGTGGCCCCGATGAAACAATGCATGGCTCTTTAAGTATGTCTGCTGTTCCCCTCTTCAGGGAGTTACCACCTACTTCTCAAGCAACTGCAGTCTGGAGGATGCTGAACTGGCTCAGAAGTTTCTTGACTCGAAAGTAAGTAAAATGAATTCCGTTGTTGTGTCCCTGATCTCTTGTAATAACCTGCGCTTTCTTTCCTTCTGTGCTCCACTCTGACTCCCGCATTCCTTTCTTGTTACATTTTACTTAATCTTCTTTCGTCTCTGCCCTCCATTTCAATGGTTCATCCTGTTTCTGTGTCTTTTCGCACTCCTCCCGTGTGTCTTTCGGTCTGCTTCGGCTGACTCTTAGCTGTGTTCTTGTGGTTTATCTCTAGAAACTGTCTGCCTACAACACCCGTCTGTTTAAGAGGGACAATGGAGGTAAAGCCTGCTTTGAGGTGCGCCTAGCCTCGGCTGTGCAGAAAGGTCAGAGCTACAGTCTTGCATGAAAACTTTAGAAACATATACAACAATAATCAACCGTATTGCTCTTGTGACAGAATGTAATATATAGACTCTACTAGACAAATTCCAGCTTGTGAACTCAAACGAGTTGTTTGCCAACAAATTTATTTTTTTTTTTTAATGTTGTATTTGTTTCACAGTCAGTTAACGCAATGAAATGTACTCTCCTGCTTCACAGACTGCGCAGTGGAGGGGGAATGCGAGTCATGCTGCGGCAGCTTCAACTTTGAAGAGAAAGAGTTCACTGTGAAGAGGGGAGACTACGCGCCTCTCATGGAGAAAGTCTCTCATTACCTCCAAAAAGCACAGGTGAGAGGGAGGGATACAGCGCAGATTATAGTCAATTCTCAGGCTGTGCTGTTTTAGCTGTTAGGAACCACAACGGAAAGAAAATCTCCCGACTAGGAAGTTGATACAGCAGCGACGTGTCCTTGAGCGAGACACCGAACTCAAAGTCTCTCCCCGGGCACTTCACAGCAGCCCACTGCTGCTAAAATGCTCGGGATGGGTTAAATGCAGAGGTCTAATGTCATGGATGTGAAGTAAAGTTTCACAGATTTCTTTGTCTGAATCAGTTAAGCCTAAAAGTAACCTTCCTGCTACTTTGTGCTGCTTGTAATTCTTCCTCCGTTTCCAAATAATGAACACAGGCCTACGCTGCCAACGAGAACCAGAGAAAGATGCTTGAGGAGTACAGTCGCAGCTTCACCTTCGGCTCAATTGACGCCCATAAAGAGGGCTCGCGCTACTGGATCAAAGACAAGGGACCAATTGTTGAGAGGTGAGCCCAGTGAACCACAAAAATGTCAAATTAACACAAAATGATCTCCTTGCTTGTGATGTCAAATCCTGCTAACCTTGAATGTAATCTGATGTATAAAACACAGAGGTAACACAGAGCACATCTGCTGCTGGTCCAAGCTGACTGATTTATTTCTTTAAAGTCTGCGGCTGTAATACAGGCTTCCAATTTGGCTGTTGAATACTGC